TTTGTGTGTGTGTTTGTGTGTGTGTTTGTGTGTTTGTGTGGTTGTGTGTTTGTGTGTCTGTGTGTTTGTGTGTTTGTGTGTGTTTGTGTGTGTGTGTTTGTGTGTGTGTGTTTGTGTGTGTGTGTTTGTGTGTGTTTGTGTGTTTGTGTGGTTTGTGTGTTTGTGTGTCTGTGTGTTTGTGTGTTTGTGTGTTTGTGTGTGTTGGTGTTTCTGTTTCTGTTTGTGTTTGTGTGTTTGTGTGTTTCTGTTTGTGTTTCTGTTTCTGTTTCTGTTTGTGTGTTTGTGTGTTTGTTTGTTTGTGTATTGTGTTTGTGTTTGTGTTTGTGAATTTGTGCGTTTGTGTGTTTGTCTGTTTGTGTGTTTGTGTTTGTGTTTGTGTTTGTGTTTGTGTGTGTGTTGGTGTTTGTGTGTGTGTTGGTGTGTGTGTTTGTGTTTGTGTGTGTCCGTGTTTGTGTGTGTGTTTGTGTTTGTGTCTGTGTCTGTGTCTGTGTCTGTGTTTGTTTGTGTTTGTGTTTGTGTCTGTGTCTGTGTCTGTGTTTGTTTGTCTGAGCGGTTGCGTGGGAAGGTGTAGGACGGATGATGAAGCTTCGATAAATCAATGTATTTTCCTGTGAATATGTAAGCATAATTTCTCATATTGTCTATGTCTGATTATGTTGGTGCTTTTGCCTGGCCGTTGCCTTTGAAAGTACCGCCCCCAGAGACGACGGCAAGGCCAGATGGTACAGACATGCCAGAGCGGGCGCATGCTGACAATGAGTACTGCATGAGCATGATGATGCGGACTTAATGTGTTGCACAGCTGCAGGGCCAATGCTTTGAGTTGGCTCAGCTTTGGCCATGTCTATAAACGCAGGCCAGGCCCTTAAACGTTCAGTGGTAACGGCCGACCTATTCTATACTTCCTTGGTGATGCTCAATCATTCATGGTTTTTGCCGCACGCGTCGGCACATAGGGCTGTGTCGCAGCTATGAGGCAGACCCGGCCGAACAAGTGCGTGATGTTTGAGAAGAATAGCAGAAGCATATCCATGTTGTTGGCGCTTATTCAGGCTTGCCAGCGCGCTAAAGATCGTCCTTCTTGTGCTCGAATGGTTGGTGATGTGATATTTGCTGACATTGTTTTAGGTTTTCCTTACACTGGTTTGCCCTGCAAGCCTTGTAACTGGCGCAAATGTACCTGCGACGCAAGAAAACACGCACTTTCTATAGCCAGCTCGGCAAGATCCAAGAAAACGAAACACAGATGACCGCAAAGACGCATGTCTGGAGCTTTGCATCTTTTGCCAGGCTCCTTCGCGGCGTCCAACGCTTCAAACTCCTGCGAGCTTTGCCCAGAGGGAAGCTTCGCACCAGCTGTCGGATCTAGCGAGTGCTCGCTTTGCTCCCCCGGCAGGCGCGCTCATGGAGAGTTGCGAAGTTGCTCAGGGTGTTTCCCTTCCCACCTGCTTCTAGTTCTGTATTTGTCTCATTTGTCTTGGCACGTTTAGCCTGTTGCTACCGGCGTGGCAGAATTGGCAGTTTAATGCTGCGACATGGCATGAACGGTGCGACATTCCAATGGCTTGCTGCTCCTGTGTTGCAAATCAGGCTATTGACACTGCCTGCCAGGTATTCAGCGCAGGGCAGCAGCAGGCACAGGGAGAAATCCGCATTGTACCAAGGGCGGTACCCTTTTTATACGGAAATCATATCTTTTCTTTTTTTTTGGGGGGGTGTCCTCTCACCCGGGTCCTGCGGATCAATCCAAAGTGAACATTGCCGACCATGTCCTATTGGGTCATTTCAGACTCTGTTGCCCAGTGGGTTGCTTTCTTTTCTCCAACTTTTTAAGGTAAGGGTTCCCCTTTAAATTCAACATAATTCAACCAACCCAAACAAAGGTGCCCTTTTCGTCCCATGGAACTCCACGGGGCATCTGAGCAAAAAAACTGCGTCACCTGGTAGGTGCGTGGAGTGCCCCGCGGGCTTCGCGGCGCCGAAAGTCGGGGCACAGGCCGAGCCATTGTGACGAGAGGTGTCCTTTTTGGTTGATTTGGCTTAAAAACAGAGGGCGATTCCTGGTTTGCCTGGTGGTTCAATCAACTACCAGGACTGCCAGGATTATCTATTTTTTCCCAAAAGGACACCTATGATTGTGACACATGCCCACCTACTGACAAGAAGGGAACACCACCATTTTGGAGCCCCACACCATTTCGACACATGCCCACTGACAAGAAGGGTGCGAAGACGCCTTGCTGCGTTTGTGGGATGGAGTGCCTCTGAAATGTTGCTTGTGGCAGCTACCTGTGATTTCAAGGGGCGTTTTGTCGAATTGCCGTTGCAGGTGGCTCGCAAGGGATTGTTTGCTTACTGAAAGCCTTGTGCCGGGCCTTTGTTTAGCTCCACTATGCTCCACCACTGCAGTCGCAATATGAGCTTTGCGCATTCAGTCGAGACTCAACACGTTCTAGCTTGTTTGATTTATTAGCTCCGGCCTGCCAGTTTTTGAAAATGTCAATTCTCTTCTGTAGCAACCCCTACGTTCAGTTTGGCAGCGCAGGCAATAGTCGGCAGTCACGGCGCTGCTTTTGGCAGGCCTGTGACTGGTGCCAGAAAGACACCTACACCAGCGTCCGCACCTTAGAATGATGCGCACCCAGCACCTGAACTCTTAATTTTTGTCTTGGCCGAAGCTGGCGATTTGTTGCCGTTGGCTTGTGTCCGTCTCTTGAATTTCTCGCAAGGATTGTTTCCACTGTACGTTGCTTGTCTCCGGTTGTCTCCCTCCAGTCCTTGAGCAGCGATTGCCATATGGAAGCACCATTGGCCTTTGCGAAAAGGCACCGACCTTTTCGTGCCGTGCGCATGACAGGTCGGAACATTCGTGTGTTCATCCACGGGTTTGTTCTTCGCGTTGACCCCCGCTTCAGCGTGAGGCTGCAGGCAGCAGTAGCTGCCTCCGCTGCGGCCTGGGCACCATCACGGTGGACAGGGGCACCACCTCTGTAGGAGACTGCGTGTGCCCGGCAGGCAAGCGGGTCATGAGGTTCGTGACTTTAGGCCTCACCAAATGGCTGCTCAGAACTAAGCAGGAGGGGCAAACCGCAGGTTTTGGCCCATGTTTCCGCTTGCCAGGGCAACCCATTTTGGGCACCGGTTTCTTGAGCCACAGCTAAATTTATCGATTCGCGGTTGACATCATGGAAGGCTCCTGGCAAATCGCCTGGCAAGCAATGGGGTCCACGTGCTCAACCATGTACGCCCCAGGACATTGAACGACAACTAATGTTTAACGGGGATTAGTAAACGGGAGTCCCCCCCCCTCAACGATGGGGGGATCTGAAATAGTATCTTGAGGTGAGTTTCCATTTGATATAATTAGTATTGGTAGACTTGAGTTTCCATTTGTTTTAGTATTGCTCTAGCTTCCTTTTGAGATTTGGAACTGAGTTTCCATTTGATTTAGTATTGCTGGAGCTTCCTTTTGAGATTTGGAACTGAGTTTGCATTTGATTTAGTATTGCTGGAGCTTTCTTCTGAAATTTGGAACTGAGTTCGCATTTGATTTAGTATTGGTAGACTTGAGTTTCCATTAGTTTTTCTTGGGGGGGGGGCCAGGCAACAAGACTTTATTTCGGGGGCCCCTGAAATAATGTCAAGTTGGGGGCTGAAGTGCTACCCCCTTTGTGGGTTTGATTGTGGGCAGGTTTTAAACAAGAGACATGTAAGAAAACATGGGTTTGGTAAAGCTGACAATTTGGGATTTAAGGAACAAGGTACCAAAGATCCAAGGACCAGGTGTTGGCTTGGCTATCTCTCCTCTCCTTTCTCTCTTTCATTTCTTTTTCTTTTTCTTTTTTTTTTGGGGGGGGGCGGGGGGGGGATTTTGTTTGGCGCGGGTGGCGGGTGCTTGTCTTTATTCCAGGTGCATTTACTAGTCCTGTTGGGCCCCCCCAGTTGTCTTTATAGCGCGTGCATTTACTAATCCCATTTGGACATTAACTTTGCTGCGAGAAAGCGACGTGTTTCTTTTGCATGCCTGGTCTTAGCCAGGTGTGTTTCAATTCATGCTTGGGGTCAGACGGGTCAGACGGCCACTTCAGTGAACACTTTGCGTAAACGAAGGTGGGCAGTTGTCGATTCCAGTGTTGCGATCAGCTAGCTTTCCTGCAAGCAGTTGTTTGATAGACCAATCTCGCAACATCCTTTGCCATGTTGGCAATTGATTTGATACAACACTTCGCGATGTGTGGCGCTCTAAGTCTTTCAGGCTGTTTGAGACATGCTGTTCCTATTGGACAACGGGACCTGGCATCACGGGCTCTGGCGCCTCGATTGTTGGGATCAACCCGGCTTCAGGACCTTTGACGTATGCACCCAAGGTTCTAAAACCGAGAGGATGTCACTGCACTCCGATTCGAGTCCCTTCGCCTTCGCGTTGATTGGGCTTTCCTTGAAAAGAGCTTATGGTTGAACCTTCTTTTGGTGTTTGTATTAATGTCGACTTTGGACTTCTGGGCCGCGCAGGGACCTGCTTCGACCCCGAACAACAGTACTGCACTCCATGTTTGGAGGGCATGGTCTGCGACGTTGGCTGCGCTATGGCGAACATGGGAGGGGCTGCAGGGTTCTTGCAGACCTCGGTTGGTGGGTTCATGGGACAATGCGAACCACCAGACAGCACCGCAGAACACTTTAAATGAGATGGGCTTTGAATGCCCGAGGCTGGTTGTCACTTGCAGGTGCAATCAGTGTGCAATCAGAAGGTGACTTCGGTGGGAGCAAGTCAAGCCATCTCTGCACCGAGGCAACTACAGCAGCTTCAATGATGCTGCCGGAGTATTCCCCAGGCACGCCATACTGTTGGTCACAGTATTTTTGCGGAATTTTCGGCCGAGTTCAGAGCATGTCACAAAACAACATTGGTGTCAACAGAGGTGGACGACTGCATGCTGTGAGTCATTCAGATCAGATGTTGCTGTATGGTTTGTTGCCCGCATCAGGCTTCGCGCCGTCTTTTGCCTCAATAAGCTCGTTTTTTGCTTGAGCACGTGGGTGGGCAATCCAGGCTTCTCCCTGGCTACATGACAAGGCTCAGCGAGCCCTTGAGACTTGGCTGCTCATTCTTGCCGACTGATGTTCGGTTTCCCAGATGTCAAGATAAGGATGGGTGCTTGCTTGCTAGACTTTTGCTGGGCTTGAACCAGATGAGCCATCATGCAGTGCTGTTTTCACACCAGCCATGGCAAGGGGCCATGGTTCATGGTGCGAGCCACTCTTTGGTTGCTGTAGCTCCCGCTTCTTTGGCCCCGCGTCTTTTTTTTTTTTCAAGGGCGCTTATCAGAGCGGCCGAGCCCTCCTCTGGGCCTTTTGGCCAAACATGAGCACTGCACAACTCTGCCCCTCGCAGCCAATTTCGCTGAGGCGCGTTTTCAGGTGCAGGCCGGATTCAGCTTTGGGTTGGAGGGTCGAGCTGCAAGACAGTTGCACTCAGCATGGTCGGCAGGGTCAACGTCATCAGGGGACGCACTTGACACTGGATAGTTGCTTTACCCCCCCCTACTTCATCAAGGAATGATGGGGACGCACTTGACACGGGATATTGTGTTTCACCCCCCTCCTTTTGGTTCATGGCAACAAGATTCGCGAGGAGTCGAACAAAAAGCAGCAAACAGCAGCCAAGACAACCGTTCCTAAGTTTCACATAAAAAGAAACGGAACATTCTGTCAGTCCACCGTGACGGCATGACGGTGATAATACGACCGTGTTAGAAAGATTGGACCCTCAAATGTGCTGGTAGGTGTTCTCGACCCTGGCCTTCCTTGTCTCAATGGATATCGGTTGATTTTCAGATGGCCTCGCAAGCTGGAGCGAATTGTATATTGCATTTTGCGGCATGTTTGGCTAGGCAGTGGGAAGGTTCAGCGGTTGCTGTGTGCAATGCACATCCATTCTGGCCAGGTCTTGTATCCAGAATCAGTAGCAGCCAGAACCGGAGAGTAAGGAAAGCAAAATAGCTTTCTCATCGTTTCGCACCTCCCTCCACCCCCTCGGGGCTTCATGTGCTTTTCTCCAGGGCTGAACTGCACTGTCCCGGCGGGGAGCCTGCCAGCTGTGCTGCGGGACGCGACAGCGCCCAAGTGGCCTGCGGTCTTTGCGCCTTAGGGCGCCGTGGCATGGAGCGGGGCGGATGGGATTTGGGAAGCAAGGAGCAGTAGGGCGCTGTTGAGAAGCTGCTGTAAGATTCTCAACATGTTGATCCTTTGCGGCCCTTTGTGCGCTGTTGAGAAGCTTTCCTGGAGGCTGAAGCCAGGAGCATGCAGAAGCGGCGCCTTAGCCGCGAACCCAACTCGCTTCGAGGTTCTCGCCGTCCGGGCAGAACTGCAATCCCTGCCAGGAGCAGGAGCACGGATGCCGCATGCCCCGAGCGCCCCGGGCGCATGTGCAAGTCCACGGAGTCCTTACTTGCCGAAGTGGTTGCTTTGTGTTAGGATGTGTTGGGACAGCTGTGATGATGAAACAAGGATGGGTGGTGGTCCCTACAATAGGATTGGGTTCTGTGGAGGCCGGAGGAGCCTACCTTTTCACCCTTGATGGCATTTGATGGACGCTCATAAAGGTTTTGTTTTTCCCTGTTGTTTGCTGTGCGCGACCCGTGTGTCAGTGCAGGACGTATGGCCATTTGCTTTGGGCTGTGTTGGTGGGCTGCTGGTGGCCATCTTCGCCACCCTCTCCTTGAACAAGGCAGTGCTACCTGGCGCTTTGCCAAGCAAAGCGCAGAATGCCTACAGGGGATGTTGATGTGAATTGATGAAGATCAGTTTATACTTGTATACTACATACGCGCGTGTATAGACTATCATTAATGCAAGCACTGGATGACATCGTTGCTGTTCCGCATGGTTGCCTTTCTTTACTGCAGCCCGCTCTGCGGACCGTCATCATGGTGCAAAGCGTGTCTTCTCCATTCCGCTGGGGGGAAGGACCCTCTGCTGCGCAGCAACTCCAACATCATGGTGGCAATCCTGGCGGGCATGACGGCGCCGTGGCTGCAGAGTTCAGACAGACAAAACGCGGATTTGGTTACCCCCTTGCGAGTGGCTCCTACCCTTGCGGCTTGTCAGGGATGTCAGGGATGTCAGGGCGGGCAGAGCCCCACGCGTTGAGTTTGCTGCGCAAGAGTGGCTCAGAATCAGTTCTTTCCCAAGGTTAGCTGCTTTCAGACTCTGAACGTCTTTGCGCAGCTGGATATCCCTTGGTTTGAGCCTGTGGGCTCCATCCTGCAAGCCTTGTCACTCTGCTTGCATTGGCGAATGCAGGGCGTACGGGTGACGCCGTAAACAAGGGTGGTGGTGTCATACTTTCCTGGATGTCCCTGGCCATTGCTGCCTTTGACTGTTGCACGCTTTGGTTCAGAATGGTTTGCCCATATTTGCGCGCGCCATCTCACCGGCGCGCTCGAGAACCAATGCCAGCATAAGCCCGCACATATGGCTGTGGGTCAAAACTAATGGTATCCCATTTTGGGGTAGCTGCACCACGCATTTTAGAACCTATTTTAGTGGTTGGATTGGGATGTTCACTGGGGGCCAACCGGGATTTTGACCCACAGCCATATTGACTTCAAGCGATTCATGGCCCACCCTGGGCCGAAAAAACGCGGCCAAGAGGTCCGCCTTCTCCTTCAACCTGGAGCTGCTAAGCACCGCCTGCGTCATCGGAACCTCACCAGTCCGCAGCTACGCGGCGCAGCTGCTCATCCTTCCGGCGCGTGACATGCGCGCGCGTGGCTGACGGGGGGGGCGGGGGGGGGGGGGCTTGCATGGAGTCCCCTGCTGAAGCTCTTTTTGAGGGCGCAGTAAAGAACGACGGACATGTCACACCATGCATCTACAACACCCAGTCTCTTACTACTACGACATCGCCTGGGCGCGAACCCATGGATGTTGGGCGGGAGAGGTGAGGTATGGTGTCCATGCTTGGAGTGCACTGTTTTAGATCCCGACGCGAGCTCCAAGAAATCTACACTCAGATTCAGAGAGAGAATCACAACGGAGCTGACCTGAGCGCCAGCCACACTCGTCTAGATGTCGAGGTGGTGCTTGATTTGCAGCGGCCAGCCCCTTGAGCTGGGAAGATGGTAAGGGTGTTGACGGCTTATGTGAGCCCATGTTTTTTTGTTTTCATTCGGAGGGTCCATGTCAGAAACGAAGAGCGTAGCGGCGCGTTGTTGCAACACGAGTTCATGTTTGCAAGTATACCTCTATTCCCGGGCACACGAAGGAGCCACTTGGTTCCTTCTTCCAGAGACAACCGGAACAGGTGACTTGCCAGCCCAAGATCCGGGCAGGCGATCCTGCCGGTGGTTTTCGTGACACTGCTGCTGAAGAAGCGGTTCTCCAAGACCCAAGTTCGGAGTCTTGTCTCGCCTTAGTCACCAGCGCTCCCCATTCCCCGGGAGCTACCCTGTTTTGACAGGCCAGCGCGGAGCCTTTGCGTCCATCGTCGGAAACCCTTGTATAATGATCCTGAGATCCTTGAGACTAAACTGAAGCCATAGTCCCAGGATGGAGTTCTGCAACACCGCCGGCACTTTGTTCCAGGCCGGGGCATGCACTGTGCTTCGCTTCTGGGCGAAGCTCCGACAATTTGCGAGAGAGACTCGCAGAGCAATCTAGGTGTGTTTGCTTGTATGCATTAATGTAATGCAATGTAGTGCTTTATGTAATGAGATGGAATACTACGCAATGCTACGTCATGTAGCGTAACGTGAGGTGAATTAATGTAATGCAATGTATTTCAACGAAATGTAGTGTTATGTATGTATGTATAAATGTATGTAATGTATGTATGTATGTATGTTTGTATTCATGCATCTATGTAGTGTATGCATATACTGACAGAGGCGGTTCTGCATAAACACCTGTTGTCATATTTTGGGTCCAAACGGGCTTCAACCCCGGACAACCCCCCGGACAAACCCCCAGACAACCCTCCGGAAAGCTTTGAGAGACCAAGAGTCTGGGACAAGCCCCCCAACAAACCCCCGGACAACTCTCCGGACCTGGGACAAACCCCCTGACAAGTCTTCGGACAGGTTTGGAACACGCCAAACCCACTCGGAAACCACCCGGAAAAACCGCTCGGAAACCACTCGGAAACCGCTCGGAAACCACTCGGAAACCACTCGGAAACCACTCAGACCCCCTCAAAACCACTCGGGAATTACTCGGAGGGAAGTATTCTTGCGGGAGGGGGGATTTGCAGCATAAATCTCGGCAAAGTGCGCGGACAACCCTCCGGACAACCCTCTGGACACCGCCCGGACAACTTGCAGGACAGCTGTTTGTCCAGCAGTTTGTCCCGCACTTTGTCCCGCATATCGAGGGGGTGTTTATGCAGAAGGGCATTCGTCAATGTATATATGTAATGTAATGTAAGGTACTGCAATGTAATGTAATGTAATTGGAATGTATGTAATGTATGCATGTAATGTAATGTAATGTACTACAATGCAATGCAATGTAGGTATGTATGTATGTAAGTATGTAATGTAGGTAGGTAGGTAGGTAGGTATGCATGCATGCATGCATGCGTGTATGTATGTATGTATGTATGTATGTATGTATGTATGTATGTATGTATGTATGTATGTATGTATTGTATGTGACATTTGTAGCGTATTGTAATGTAATGTAGTGTAGTGTAATGTAATGCAATGTATGTAATTTATTGCAATGTTGTATGTATGTATGCATGCAATGTATGTATGTATGTATATACATACATATTTATTTATGGGGGCCGTGCGTAATTGCGTGTTTAAAATTATGAACAGCGGCAATTTGTTGAACCGCGCGATTGCTCAAAGCTCGAGCTGCGAAAGGCCGGCGGTTGGACCGCGAAAGGGCGACAAATTTATTATGAGCTTAGGCGGTGCATGGTGCCGACGCACGTCTCGCTGATTTCGACTGAGCGGGCTTGAGCAAAAGTTCCCTTTGTTCCTGAATATTGCTTTCGCTTGTGCCGGGCCGGGCAGTGCTTTCCAAATCTGCTTGCTGGCAAGGGCTGGAAGCTGCAAACCCCGAAGTTTCACCGCCGAATTCCGCGATTGGACGGCGATTGGACGAGTTCCACCAGTGAGCAGCTGCCCATCCGAGCCACGTCACTTCCTTCTTGTTTCCAGTTATATGGCTGAAGGCGAGCGCTTGAGATAAGATAGCGAAACTCGAAACAGAAACAGCAGCGATGCCCAACGTTGCTCCGCGATTGGGCCCTGTGGGATCGCGATTGTATCGCGATTGGCCGGCGATGGGGGGGGGGTCTCCAGGCAAAGTTTTTTTGGTACAACCCCCATATGTATGTATGTTTGTATGTTTGTACTGGTTGTCATGGTAGGTATGTATGCATGCATGCATGCATGTATGTATGTATGTATGTATGTATGTAATGTATGTAATGCATGTAATGTATGTATGTATGCTTGGTGTGTAACGTAATGTAATGTTATGTTATGTATGTATTTATGCTTGGTACGTAATGTAATGTAATATTTACATATATATATATGTATGTATGTCTCTATGTTTGTATTGGTATGTACTGGTGTGTCATGGTAGGTATGTATGCATGCATGTATATACGTGTGTATGTATGTATGTAATGTATGTAATGTAATGTGATGTAATGTAACGTAATGTAATGTAGTGGGATGTGATGCAACGCAATGTAATGTACGGAATGTGTGTAATTCATGTAACTCATGTAATTCATGTAAAATAATGTATGCGTTTATGTATCTGGGTAGCTATGTTCTTATTGTATGTGACATATGTAGCGTAATGCAATGTAAGGCAGTGCAACGTGATGCAATGTATGAATGTAATGGATGTAATGTATGTAATGTATGCAACGCATGTACTTTATGTATGCATGTATGTATGTATGCATGTATGTAACGGTATGTAATGGTATGGGTACTGGTATGGGTAATGGTATGTAATGGTATGTAATGGTATGTATTGATGCGATGTAATGTGTGTATGGATGTTGTGCTGTGTTGTGCTGTGTTGTGTTGCGTTGTGTAATGTGTGTACGTGTGTGTGTATGTATTGAATGCAGCGTATGTAATTGTAAGGTAATGTAAGGTAATGTGCTGTATGTGATGTATATGATGTATGTAGTGTATGTAATGTATGCAATGTATGCAATGTGTGGTAATGTATGTATGTATGTAATGTATGTGACACATGAAGTGTACTAGAATGTAAGTATGTATGTATGTAATGTAAGTGCAATGTATGTATGTAATGTATGTAATGCATGTATGTATGTAATGTATGTAATGTATGTAATGTATGTAATGTATGTAGTGTATGTAATGTAATGTAATGTAATGTAATGTAATGTAATGTAATGCAATGCAATGTAATGTATGTTTGTGTGTATGCATGTATGTATGCATGTAATGTACTGTGCTGTACTGTAATGTATGTATGTATGTATTTATGTATGCATGTTGCGTAATGTAATGTAATATATTTTATGGTATGGTTTGGTTTGGTACTTTGGTACATGGTATTACATTTATGTTGGCATGCATGTGCGTATGTCATTGAAATGCAAATGTAAATGTAATGTAACTGTAATGTAATGCAATGTAACTTAATGCATATGCAATGCAATGTATGTATTCACGTTTGTGTATATGCGTGCGTGCGTTTCTCGGCAGTGTATCTGGCAGGTGCTTTTCATCACTGTGCTTCTCAGCTGCGTGTCTCCCTTGCAGTGCTTCGACCATCCCAGTGGGGGTGGCCTGTCTCCAATGGCGCGACTGGATTCCAAGGGATCCTTGTTGTGCGCCATCAAGTCGTGAACAATTTGTTTGAGCATTCCTCCAGCTTTGGCGACACAATTTGGAACATTGCATTGTCAAGGAGCTTCTTCTGTGCATTGCGGAAGCCATGATGTAGGGGTGCGCCAGGAGATGTTTCTTTTTGGCCTTGACGTTTCGTCAGATCTCAGGCTCCTCTCTGCACAGCATGCCGGCGGTGCTGTGCCTTGAAGGCTATCCAGACTGCACTTGGCATGGCCTGCAAAAGAAGCTTACCTTGTGTTGACGAGGTCACTGCAAAAGTGAGGTGAGCACTATTTTCTTCTTCTACTGGGCAGCGTGGCGTTCATTTCCTTGCCGTGCCCTTTTTGGGCCGCTTCTCTTTGGGCCACTTGGGCCGCTGTGCTGCACGGAAGCTTGCGCGGGCTGCTCACACGTTGTCAGGTTCAGAAAACGTGTGCACAGGTCTATCCGGCAAAGCTGCTAGACAAGAGTGACCGGGGGCGGCTTTTCGTGCGCCTTGCCTGAAAGCCAGAAGCCTTTCGGCATCCCGTTTGTTTCAGGCCCTGCTGGATCTTTCGCGCTCATTTCAATGTTGTGTTTGATAGGGGTTGCGTGGAGGTGCTTGCAGTTGGGAGTTGCTTTGCGTTGAGTTTCGGCGTCCTATTGGTTTGGCTGACGCGCTTGCTTCTTAATTTGCTTGGAGATACCTTTGCGGCGCTGCTGCCTGGCAGCATCAAAACCTCCATGACACTGGCGCTAGTGCTGGTGCTGGTGCTGGTGCTGGTGCTGGTGCTGGTGCTGGTGCTGGTGCTGGTGCTGGTAGTGCTGCCGCTGCTGCTGGTGTGGGGGTAGCGTCTATTGGTCCCCGATACTTGGGCAGGGGTGCTTGGCACGACTTGATGGTCAGAAACATTTCGCCGACGCTTGGGTTCGCATGCCCCCGTCAGACGTGCTGGGCGCCGAAGCGAGGTTCGGCACGCAGTTCCTTTTCTCCCGCTTTCGGCCAGCAGCTGCTTCGGCCGCAAGCCGGAGAACCCCCAGCGGCGATTTTTTTTGGCGCTGCACGTGATGCGGTCTCACACCTTGGATGGGGCAGGCTGGTTTGACTTTTACGTATGGAACTGGCCACAAATGGGTATGGGTCAAAATTAAACCACCAGGGAACCGCAGGTTTTAGTCCATGTTTCCACCCACCAGGGTTCTATATTGGGTACCTATTCTTGACCCACAGCCATATGATCTCCATTCCTTTTGGTTGGGGGACCCTCACCTACAAGTTGCCTAAGGCTATATGTTTTCTGTCCCCTGCGGGTTTTGTTCTTAAAAGGAATCTTTCCGTCTATCATGCTTGTTTTTGGGGGGGCTGAAGAGTATGTTTTTAATCGGCAGGGAGAGAGAGAAAGGGAAAGGGAAAGCTGATCGTGTCTTGTCACGCCCAGTTTCAGCCCAGGCTCACTACTATGGTATATTTACCTTGGCCAAAAGCTTCTTGCTGACTCTCAGCCCCGTGTGCTTTCAGACTGGCGGGGCTCTCCAATCCTGCTATTTGTGCACCTTGATTTGCAAGAGCTACGTGGAGTTTATGAGCCAGAAGCAAATTCGCTATGCAGTGATTTGCGGGGCAATTGCATTTAGTGACGGTCGCAAATCTTCAAATCAGAAAGTGCCTCTGCAGAAATTGCTTTCGGGGCATTTGCCACTTGTTTGGCAAATACATTCTGCGCGCGTCCTCAGGCATCATTCTCGTCCTCTTTCTGATGCACCAGCAGCAGGCCTCGACCCTTCAGAACTTCATGTGCAGGGGGGCATCTCATGAGCCAATGGAGGAGCACACCTGGCCATGGGGCACAACCTATGGCTCCATTTTGGGGTGGATAAACATCCATTTGCCACCTATTTTGACGTTTACCAGGCGCACAGGGTTTTGACCCACAGCCACCTGTTGGATGGAAAATCAATTACTCAGAGCTTCTTGCTTGGGCTTGTGGCTGGGGGATCTTGGCTGCTCGCAATTTTCCACCTGCAACGCAGGTATTGCCCTGGAAGAGCAGGCTGGCCAACCAGCTGGACGGAGCTTGCAGCAGCTTGTTCAAGGTTTGTGTGGCATTTGCTTTGCAAAACATTTGTTTGGTATTTCCAGGCTTGTTTGTTTGGTGTTTGTTCTTGCCTTTGGTCAGCCTGAGAACGGGCGCCCTTTCTTCTAGAATATTTGCTTAGCGTGACCTTTGCCAGACCGCATGCATCCTGTTCGCCATTTGTGTGGTTTTGCCCTTGGTGCGAAGGATGGGAGAGACCGATGTTCACTATCAATCTGCCGGGGGTTTCTCGAGCTCACCATGATAAAGGCCCTATGCTTAGGGATTCTTTATTTCAGGTTTGGGAATCCTTGTAGAATTTGCAGCCACTATCAATTGTTTGTGGATGCTGTTGCTTCTGGGGATGATTGCAATTTTTGCTCCTCGTTTGGAGGAGCTCGGTTACCTTTCAAGATTGCTTTGCACAGGCATTCTGTACTGCAACTGTGCACCGGCACTATCTGGCACTTGTGGAAGATATGCATCAAGCACAATGGTACTTGCTTTGATTGTTGAACCTTTCTTGAATTCCATGGCATTCTCAGACTGTAGTTTGCAACACGGCTGTTTCTATTGCCTTGCTCAGCCTCCATGAGCGGACGGTGCGGTAGCTTGCATCTTCCCGTTCAGGCCTTCCCATCAAAAATGTTGCCTGCTTGGCCAGCCAAAAGCCGACAAAAGCCAAACCTACAGACTGACATTTTCAACTGGCCGACAGATGGTCTCAGGCCTCTCCCTTATTGTCTTGCTACTTTGCGGCGCGTTGGCCTCCTCTCCTGATGAGAGCACTCGCGCACAGCCACTTGGAGAATGTCACTGCTTTGCCGTGAGTGCAAAAACATGACATTGCAACTAATGTGATGCGAGGCAAGTTGCAAATGCAACAAGGCAATGCAATGTATGTAATGTCGTGTAATGTCGTGTAATGTAGTGTAGTGGGAATGCAGCGCGGCGCAGGTGGCCGTGTCAGAGTCAGAGTGCGCATGTTTGAACAAATTGTTGGCTCGGGGGGTTCGGGTGTCGTATCTGACAGATCTCGTCAACCGGCACCCCTTATATTAGGCTGTTCTGTTCCCGGACAGCTGGGATGCCAACAGTCCGTTCATGGAAGTGCTAGGAATTTGTCCCCAAAGCATTCCAGGCAAAAGTTAAGTTGGGCACTGAACACCCAGACATCCAAATGATGGTCTCTCAGTGAAAACCAGACAAGTTGTGTCGTTGTGCTTCTCCAGGCACGGCCGCCTGGCTTGGACAGCAGTTGAAAATGTGCGCAATGTACGTAGTATTTTGACCGCAGGAGTCTTGAACCCGGACCGCGGGAACTCTGCAGTTTCCCACCAAGAAATCGCAACTCATACTGAGAAAAGCTCAGCACGGCACAAAATTGTTTGCTGAGTTTCTTTGAGTATGGTTTGTGCTTGCTTGGCAGGTTTGTTCCCAGCCAACTTCCTGCCAGAAAGCTGAAACAAAATTGTTGTAAACGCTTCGTTGGCTGGCTTTGAGGTACATAGCGTGCTTGAGTGCCTGAGGTCTTGTGTTTTAGGGTGAGTGAGTCGGCGCCGAAATGCGTGAGCTGGTTCCAAGGTAGACCGCGTGTTTCCAGAAGGCCAGAACGAGCCGCAGAGAGATACAGAATGGCAGTTGCCTTGGGCCAAGCGAAGGTGCACATTTCTGTTTGACGGGGATTTTGCCAGTTTTCTGGGGGTTTGAGCGGAGTTGGACCTGTTTCAGAGGGGATATAGGCTTCTAGGATTTGACTGGCTTCAGACAAAATTCGACCGGTTTCTAGCAGGGTTTAACAGGTGACTGGTCTAGATGGCATGGGAAGTTGACCGGTTTCTAGGGGTGGTTGATCGGTTGCTTGACCGGAACGGAATTTGACCGGTTTTTGGAGGCCCGCGGCCTCCAAGTTCCAAGCTCGCTCTAGGCGGGCTCGAGCCCGTCGTTGCGTTCTGCACGGCTCAGTAGGGAAGGTAGACGGTGAAAGTCATGGCATGCGCAGGGCAAGTGCGCAGTGAAATGCATAGATACATGCGCTGGGAAAGTAGACACTGAAATTACTGAAATGCATGGAGGCCAGTGAAACGCAGAGAGGCATGCGAAACGAGGACTGGGTGAGGTGCATAGATGCACGCACAGGGAAAGTAGAGAACGAAATGCATAGAGGCATGCGCAGGGAAAGCAGGCCGTGCGCGCACCGACAAGAATCGCAAAAATCTCCAGGTTTGCCGATCCCCGCAGACGGTCGCGCGGGCATGTTGAAAATCGCAAAAATAAGCACGAGTTTTTTGCAAATCGACCACACCGATCCCTAAGAGGGTCTCATTTTCACAGAGTGCGCTTGGTTCCACCGCACCATGAAGATATTAATTTTAGTTAGTGTGCAAGTTTGCTCGTGCAAGTTATGCTTGTGCGAGAGGGAAGCAAGATCGCTGCACGTGTCACTGCGTACTTTCGCTACGCATGCCTCTATGCGTTTCACTGTCTACTTCCCCTGTGCGTGCCTCCATGCATTTCACTGTCCACTTTCCCTCTGCTATGCATGTATCTATGCATTTCATTGTCTACTCTGTGCATGCCGCTACGCATTTCACTGTCTACTTTCCCTGTGCGCATCCATGCGCTTCACTCTTTACTTGCCCTACGCGTGCCTCTGCGCATTTCACTGCTTACTTTCCCTGCGCATGCATCTATGCACTTGACTTTGTACTTACCCCATGTGTGCCTCTATGCGCTTCACTGTTCTGAAGGGATCGGCGTGGTGGACTCGAACATGCCCGCGAGACCCTCTGCGGGGATCGGCGTGGTCGATGTGGAAAAGCTGATCCCTTTTTGCGATTCTTACGATGCGCGCGTGACCCTTTGCGGGGATCATTTCTGCGCTTCCCGCGCATCCCTGGACCCTCTACGGGATTGGCGTGGTCGAGGTGCAAAAACTCGAGTTTTTTTGCGATTTCTGCTCTCGCTATGGTCCTGTGTGAATCTTCGCGGTTTGCGCGCGACCCTCTGCGGGGATTGTGCGTGTCAGATCGCTCTCATGTGGTCCCGTGCGAATCTTCGCGGTCTGCGCACGACCGTCTGCAGGGATCAGGCTGCAAAGTCGCAACTTTTAAGTACACAAGTAGTACGCGAAGCACCTTCCTGCAGCTCCGGCTGCAAAGTCGGAGCTTTTAAGTGCAAAAGTAGTACGCGAAGTACGTCCCCGCAGCTCCGGCTGCAAAGTCGGAACTTTTTAAGTACAAAAGTAGTATGCGAAGCACCTTGCCGCAGCAACTGCAAACTCGCAACTTTCAAGTACAAAGGTAGTACGCAAAGTACGTCCCCGCAGCTCCGGCTGCAAAGTCGGAACTTTTAAGTGCAAAGTGTACGCTGAGCACCTTCCCGCAGCAGCAACTGCAAAATCGCAACTTTCAAGTACAAAGGTAGTACGCAAAGTACGTCCCCGCAGCTCCGGCTGCAAAGTCGGAACTTTTAAGTGCAAAGTAGTACGCTGAGCGCCTTCCCGCAGCAACAACTGCAAAATCGCAACTTTCAAGTTTAAAAGTAGTACGCCTTGCGCGCTCGTTCAAAAGTAGTACGCAAAGTACATTGCGCATGGCAGCTTGCTGAGAGCGACGTGCAGGCCTGCGCAGAACAGTTTGCCGCAAAGACATTCTCTACAGAAAACATTCTGCAGCATGGGAGCCCTGTTGTTGGAACGATGTAGTCTCTTGCATGGCAAGTCTTCAAACGGAGTTGTTTTTCTTCATAGACCTTGGAAACCTACAAGCGCAACTATCTTGGCGCGGAGTAGATCCTCTTGCGCTACGTTAGAGGAGGGCTCGCACAAATGCCTGGGTGTGTGTTTTCCTCTTTCATGATCCTGCCTTCCAGCTGCAATCTGAAACAAGAACAGACGTCAGCTGCGTGCGCTAAGCAACACGCAGTGCTCGCGTTGGACAATTGGAAAAAACGGTTTGGTTTGCTTGTTGGTTTGTTTGGTTGTTGCATGCCCATCGGGCCCAGGCTTCAATTTGTGGGAACTGCGGTGTTTGTGGTCTTGGCCACGCTGATCGCAGCTGCTCTAATCTATGCGGGCTTCAGGGTCATTGCCTGGCACTGAGAAGGAGTTGCAAGAGTCACAGCGTTTGGTTTGTCACTTACAGGGCTTTGTTTCAAGGCTTGGATTTTTGCCCAGCCTGCTGGGCAGTACAGCCAGGGTTTCTGCCGTTCTGCCTTCCAGATTCTTGTGAGGGCACGCTTAAGCATTGGCATCAATCAAACGAAAGGGTTCAGACAATGGAGAACTGCAAGCAATTCTCGGAGGCAGTCCTGGTTGGCGTACGCTTGCGTAGGCCTATTTATGTAGGCTGTCGATGACGCTTCGGGTCTGAATTGAGGACACTCGCGTCTGTGACTTGTTTCCACAGGTTGCACGTAGGCTTCAAGTAGGCCCCGCGTAGGCATTGGCATAGGCTTCCAGGACATTTGCAGGGCCTAGGTTCTTTCCAGCAGTTCTACCCCCGCAGCATGGGGATGTCATTGCTTTCGGGCCCCCAGCGTGCGCATAAGCCCTTGTGGGTTTGTGCGCGCATGAACAGCCACAAGAGCAGCGCATAACAGATGCCTGCACAGGTGTTTAGGCTTTTTATATGGGAACTGGGCAAGAGTTTTTATGTCTCCGCAGTCTTTCCCTTCTCACGACGCCAGGCCTTTTGCGTCGAGTTGCCAGAATCCAGCGGGAAATATTTCCCGTTTCCTCGCCCGCAGTGTTAAGTGCAAAATTGGAAAGTGCTCAATTGTTGCTCGCCTATTAACTACATGTGTGCCTCATCAGCGGGCCCTGCAACGAAAGTATGACCAACTCAAGAATGCACAGAAGTAGCTTTTGCGATTAGAGTTGTTGGAAGGTGTGCAGGTATTCCCGGTACATGCGCAAAGAATAAGGTGCCTGGAAAGAAGTACAAGCGGCTTGGCTGAGCTCGGCATGCACGATAGCCAATAGCAGCTATCAAACAGATATAGAATCTATAGTGTTTCTTTAGCAGCTAGAGGAGTCAGATATCTAGATCAGCCCCCGTACTGTTGCAGGCGTAGCCTCGAATTTTCACTGCTTGTCGCACATATCATGCGGACACAAAATAAAACTTGTCTTTCCAAGCCCACGCAGTTTGGCATCATGCGCCTCAAAACATGTTTAGCAAGAGTCTTGTTGACCAGGCATTTCGGTGCCCGGTGCCTCATAGTGGGCATGTCTTGCCAGATCTCAAGAGGGGTGGAGGTCATCGCCTTTTTGGAGCTTTTTTCAGGGGTCGTGGCTGAGGTGGTTCATTTGCCATCACAAGGCAGATGCTTCAGCACAGGCCCGGCTCTTGAAGGTGCTGCTTAAGGCGACGTTGGGGGACGGGGGACGGGGGGGACGGGGGGGGGCATGGCCAGGGGAAAAGCAGCAAAACGACACCAGGGTGTCGAAGTGCCTGTGGTCGGATGTTCTTTTCTCAACCAACTCCTTGTCTTCCTACTACTTCTTGGGCGTTCCGCCGTTGCTTCGAGTGCCCACGGGGCATGAGAGAAATATTTGGCCATCAGGCGAGGAGCTCCCATGAGACCTTCATTGACTCGGATAACCTTGTGGACTTAGCAGCCTGGCAAAAGCTCAAGGGGGCTTTTGGAACATCCGGCCGTGGAGAAAGGCGTGCAACACATTCAGAAACAGGTAGGCACTGCATGTTGACACATGTTGACACCTTCCAGTCTATGTGGGACGGCAGGTTCCCCAGGATGTTCTAAGATGATTGAACACGGCTCTACTTTTCGCTGCCTTTTAAACTTTCTACCCTGCTGCTTCTTTCAGATGGAACACCCCTAACTGCTTGGTGTTTGCAAGACTTTTGGCTGGTGCACGTTAGCCAGACTGAACGCGAATATCAAAGGGGCTGTTCTGAGCAATGTGCAGCACCGCTCGCGAAGTTCCCTGAGGACACGCTCTTTGACGTCGTCAGATGTCAGTTGGATACCTTGGTCACTCGGCAAGTCTGGCTGCAATGTCTGGGGTGTTGGGGAGGCGTGCTCGTGCCTGAGAAGGCCGGTCAGTTTTCGCCTCTTGTATTTTTGAAGCACGGCAGCTGTGACGCCGTTTTGCTTGCCACGAGCAGGCAGAACGGTCTTGTTCTTTTTTTTCTTCGGGCCACCTGGAAGCCAAGGTCGTGTTCATGACACGAGATGTCCTGACTCGACCCTGGTGTGCCGGCGAGATTGTGACAGCCTTCAGGACTGCAGATCAAGAAATCAGATTCCTGCGCGCATGAATATTTTTGCCTTGGCACACTTGTCAGTGGCTCATCAGCTTTTTGACCATTCGCCATTTTCCCATGCGTGGGACATGACCATGGCATGTGTTGAGCTGCGTTGTGCTGAGCTCCTGAAATCCATCCGGTAGACTAAGATGCTGTTCCCAACGCAAGGTAGTTGTGATGTTCCGTGTAAGGTGGCAAAGAAGGCGAATGACTGTGTTTGCTGTTGGCCGGGTCAGGCTTTACAAAAAGGATTTCTCACGGCAGCTGCAGCTTGTTTCAACAGGGAGGGTGACAGATGTCAATCCAATCCCATGTCCCTGAGGACAGGCAAGGTCAAGGTGTTGACCGTGAAGACTTCAAGAACTTTGGCTGCACGAGTCGCCAATCCGCGGCCAGAGTCTAGTTTCGATCTGGGCAGCTTGCAGAATTTTCAGCTTGTCACTTTGCAGCTGGAGAGTTGCAATGCATTGCACCAGCCTGTGATTTTTCAGAAGCAACAGTCCTGGTAGGACTCGCCTATTCAGAATTCGTTGGCTAACTTGTTCACCCAGATCTTTCGCCACGCCAGACCATGTAGCTTACTCTTCAATGTTTGTTTTGATAGTGACCTACCCACTTTCCATCCCCATTCCAATTGCAATGAGTGAACCAGGAAAGTTGCCCACGAGAAGCCTAGGCTTCGTGGCTCCAACCGATGAGCAGATGGATGATTTGACGCTGCACGCCTGAATTGTGCATGCACGTTCGAGGGAACAACTATGCTTTGGGCTTTTCGTTTAGGATGTCCACTCGGGTTGCCGTGCGTTCCATTTCGGTCCTGGCTGCATGGCAATGACGAAAGGTTATTGTTCGCAACAGGCGCCAACGCATGGCAGGCGCTTAAGCCCAGTGGGAGGCAAGGATGGCTAAACAGGGCTCCTTAAAAGATATATGTTGCAACCAATTGAAACATGGAACACCAAAATGAAGGGAAACCACCATTTACAAGGCAATGTTCAGGTGTATAATGTAAGGATCCCTGCTAAAATGCAAAAAACAACTCGACTAGAAGAAGGGGCGACATGACTCTAGACATGTCCGCCTTGAGGTCGTACCTGGACCTATCGAGTTGCGACCTCTCCCGCTTTGCGAAGCTTGGCGGTGAGTACTTTCTCATGAGGTGAGCTTAGCTTGACATCTTGACATACCAAGCTGTTCACCAGAAGTGAGGCAGTTCATCACAAGGCCGACCGGTGCATCCGAGCTGAGTATTTGGTGGGTTCTTGTTCATGGTGCCACCCATATTGGCTGGAAGATAATCTTTGGTGACAGACAGTTTGCGGTCGTTTCCTGGTGTTGGGATCGAACCAGCTTGGTGCTAGGCCAGCCCATTTGACCTGACACTTTCCGCTGGAGGCGTGTTAGTCAGTATGTTCCAAAGCTTTGCAAAAGCACTGAGGAACACCCAGAGCCCGCTAACAAAGACGATAGCACATTTGGGTGAACATGATTTCAGCAAGAACACGCAAACAAAGACGCTAGCAAATGTGGGTAAACAAGTTTAGGTGTGCGTTTGCGCAGCTTCGTGTGCACGGACAGGCAAAGTTTGGAGGGACTTAATACAAACCGGTTTGGTCTCAGGTCATGATTGGGTGTTTGTTTCTTTCCTTGGCATGACTGTAAGTGGCACAGATTCATTGGATGCTGGCTGCTACCTGGAATTCTGCCTAGGATTCAGGCTGACGATGTGCGCCATGCGTTCGAGAGATTGCTGGGTGGCAATACCCCGATGATCGAGTCGGCCTCAGCTGCATCAAACCTGCAGATGGATACCAAATGAAGTCTGCCGGTTCCAAGACGTCGGGGGCTAGCAACTGCTTGAGTTTCGTGCGTACCGGCTCGTTTGTTGTTTGTTGCATCATATGTTGTTGTGGCCTTGCCAAGTGTTGCCGCTTGTCCAGGCCAGAACATCAAGTTAGGCTTTGAAGCATGGCTCAAAGCGTATTGCACGTGTCCGGCTTGCGGCACTGGCGTGCCATCATTTGTGCCCATGTCGGTAGCATCAGTGAGCTTGCTTCGGGCAGATGCCCCTAGCCCTACTGTTCGGTTTATGTATTGCAAGGGTAATCAGGGCCATGCAGGGCCCCATTTGTTGACACCTGGGTCTGGCCTCCGCAGCATTCCTATCCTTGCCCAGCACCTGAGGAGTTTGGCGCTTATCCAGTGGGGACTTCAAAGTTTGACAGGCGCGCTGCCACAGCTGGGAGTTGGAGTTGATTCGTGCCCCCCGCCGGAAGATTCGGCAAGGCTTGCCGACAAGATCGTCAGCCTGACGCTCAGCAAAAGGTCGCTTGGCGTCGTTATGCTAGGTTGTGGTTTGCTCACTTAAATGGGTGAAAGCCAGACGAGCCAAGAATGGGTCATGATTTGTCCCTGTTGAGAACCCTGAACAAAGAACCATTTTTGCGCATCTTCTTCATTCTATGCCCATGAAAGAAAAGCTGCAAAGTTCCAACAACTGTTTCTGTGCACTGTTGTTGAAAAAGCTCCCTTCACTCAGTCCTGCTAAACTGTTGAACCGTTCAAAGCATTTGTTTCAATGATTCAGTTAAGACACACCCACGCAGGCACTCGCACATGCACACACACAAAAGCACCCACAAGCGCACACACCCCACACGCACAGTCACAAGCACCCACGAGCACACCACACACGCACACTCACAAGCACCCACGCGCACACCACACACGCACATCCACATCCACATCCACATCCACATCCACATCCACAGCCACAGCCACAGCCACAGCCACAGCCACATCCACGCACGCACGCACGCGCGCACGCGCGCGCGCACGCGCACACACGCGGCACACACACACACAACACAACACAACACAACACAACACAACACAACACAACACAACGCAACACAACACAACACAACACAACACAACACAACACAACACAACACAACACAACACAACACAACACAACACAACACAACACAACACACACACACAACACACACACACAACACACACACACAACACACACAGAACACACACACACACACAACACACACAACACACCCACACAACACACACAACACACACACACACACACACCCACACAACACACCCACACAACACACCCACACAACACACCCACACAACACACCCACACAACACACCCACACAACACACCCACACAACACACAACCACCCACACAACACACCCACACAACACACCCACACAACACACCCACACAACACACCCACACACACCCACACAACACACCCACACAACACACCCACACAACACACCCACACAACACACCCACACACACACACCCACACAACACACCCACACACACACCCACACACACACCCACACAACACACCCACACAACACACCCACACCCACACACCCACACACACCCACACACACCCACGCACACCCACACACAGCGACACACACCCACACACACACACACCCACACACACCCACACACACACCCACCCACACAACACACCCACCCACACACCCACACACACACACACCCACACACACCCACACACACGCCCACACACACCCACACACACCCACACACAGCCACACACACCTACACACACCCACACATTCCCACACACACCCACACACACCCACACACACCCACACACACCCACACACCCCCACACCCCCACACCCCCACGCCCCCACACCCCCACACCCACACCCACATGCCCACGCGCACGCACGCGCACGCGCACACGCACACGGACTCGCACACATTTGTCAGCTTTCAACGGTTTCTGTTCAACTTGGGGCGCGGTAGCATCGCACAAAGTTGAGGGCAGTCTGCATGCGACAAATGCACAGAGCCCCAAGGATCCAGCATTCCGGGGCCGAGGTGGGCCACCTTTGGGCATCCAAACTTTACCTCCGAAAGAGCTGGTCAGCGAATGCTGCGGAGGGTGACTTCTGGAAGTCACCAGCTGGGAAGGATTTTCACCAATCACGCGATGATTTCGCTTGCATGTTGCGCGATAGATCAAGGGAAGACTTGCAGGTCGGTGGGTGCTATCGAGTCAGAAACGGGAGGGGGGAAGGGCCTGCCTGGACTATCATAACCGTTTCCCCTTGGTGGAGCAAGTGATGCTCTCAAATGTAGATGGTCTCAGCCCAGGCTTGGCAAGCAGAAGGAGCGTGAAGAGCGTGAAATGCATCTTATCCGCAATGCAGGAGTTGCGTGGCCCCTTAAACAGGAGATCTACTTCAAACAATGCCGGAGTTGCGTTGGCCCTTAAAAGGGAGATCTCCAAAGAGTGATGTTTAGACCACCAAAGGGGCGAGGGGACCCCTGCAACTCCTCCAATTGCTTCAATGTTTCGCCCGCAGGCATGCGGGCACCTACGAGGATTGCGCGCCCGCGGCAGCAATGAGATTCCAGGGGCTCCGTCCTGAAGTTTCACGGGAGAGCTTGAGATCTGCGTATACTTGTCTTCTTTCTGGTTAAGAGTATGTTTTGTTTTCCCCTGTTGGTCTTAAGAAGAATCTCTCACTACTGTTTTTTTTGTTTTTTTCCAGGGGGCTTAAGCAAATGGAGGTTTTGGAGTAATTAGTTATGGGTGGGGGTGACACCTGGGGGCACTGGGGGCATCATTTGTTTGGGGATGATGTGGAGAAGGCAGCCCCTGCAACTGTGCCGGCCCGCTCGATCATGTTGACCCTGGCTAGCACTAAACGCCTGTAATCAGAAGCATATAAACCCCTGTTTATTAAGGGGGGTGTTCCCTCCCAGAAGTCATGATTCCCCACTAAACCCAAACTGGGGTTGGTTTATATGGAGTCAACATCCAGCTGCTTTCCACAGGTGGTGATCTCCTCTGAGCCGGGCAGGGACGAAGCCACGGCGGCGGTGAGCATTCTGAGCGCCAAGATGCACGGCTTGGTGGCAGCCAACAACACCAGCTGCCCGCTTAGAGACGAGGTCTCCCGGTCTGTAGGTCTCGTGTTCGTGATTGGCTGTGTGAACAGGGTTGATCATTTATTCGGCATGGATAGCCGCCTTGCCGTTCTTCGTCTTTCTGGGGACGTGATGCGATTGGCACTTGACTCATTGTCGTTAGGAAACTCTTAGGACTCATGGTGTTGCAAGCAAACCATAGCCTGGTGTTTTGCGATGCTTTGTGTTACGCCTTCTGCAAATGTGCCACCAACTTTGGCAACCCTGCCGTTATGTCACGAGGCATTGTGTGCCTGGTGGACCTCGGCCAAAGCGAGCAACCTGGCAGTCAAACGGAACATGGCCATAGGTGAATCTGGATAAAGTTTGATATTTGTGTTGTTTGCCATGGCGTTTCGAAAACATCAGAAAGTGCTTTTGCAGGTCTTTTGTTTTTGGTGGTCAGGCAACATATTATGACAATAATTAATTAAGGCTCCCTCGTTGCCTGCCTGTTTGCCTGCCTGCCTGGACACACCCGGCCACGTGCTTGCTCACCTTCACTGCACTGACCAGTTGGTTTTTAAGTCCCTTTGCTGTTGCTTCCAGCGCACCTTCTGACTTGATCCTGTTCGAAAGGCAGCATTCAGCTTAGGTTTCAGATGCTACACTACGTCGCCAAGTGCAGGGCACTGGTGGTCATCCTCTCCAATGGCTCGTTGACATCGATCCTCCAACTCCACACCATAGTGGAGCCCTTTGGCCTGCCAACTTATGCGAACAGGGGCCATGAGCGTTCATTATCTGTGGGTCAAAACCAATGGTACGATTTTGGAGTAGGTGAATTCACCACCCATTTTGGTCTATTTTTAGTGGGGATTGGCATGTTCACTGGGGGTACGATTTGGATGTTGACCCATGGCCATTTGGGTTCATGGCGCCTGTCGCTACGCGGCATTCGCGTATGAATGGCGGTCATTTTGCCACCCAACAGGATGTTGTGGAACAAGCAGCGGAGCAGTTTGAGACTAGCCTCACATAGCCTCATGCGAGGCGGGCGGGGGAGGAATGGTATTGGTTCCAGATCAGGAAATTCACCGAATCTGCGGTGCAAGATAGATACCGATTTCCAAGGGGCCTTTGAAACTTTGCACCGCAAGGCCACACCAGGGGAGTCACTACACACAAAAGGGGCTCGGAACGGGTTCTCTTGATATGTGAAGCGCCTGGCCATAGCTGCTAGCCACGCTCCTTTGAAGCTCCCATTCGCACAATTTTGGAGACCCTCAAACTTAAACGCTTTGAGCTTTTGATACGCCGACGTGTTGTCCATTATATCCAAATCAGGCTCTTTTTTCAAGTCTGTCGCATGTCTGTCGCTTTGCTTCCTTCAGGATGATGTTGCAGCTGGAGCAGCTAGGGTCCAGCAAGGCCAAGCCAGCTATTATCCCTGTGATGCTCGGTTTGCAAGCGTTCCGAATGCAACGGCGGGGGGTCGATGTTTGTCAGCAGTTTGCTCACGACTCTGCTCCCGTGTTTTCCTGGCCGGCATGGAACCATCAAGCAGGGTATCTCAATGAAAGCAGCGGGGATGATTCAAAAGATGCTCATCCACAGCGTGTCTGTTTGCACAGACATGTGCTCACACGATGTGCTGGGCTGTAATTGCATTTGGTTGCCTTCGCACGGATCAGGAACCTCCCGGACTTCCAATTCCCGCAGGCTGGAAATACCTCCCTCGCGGACCTTCCCCCCTCTTGAGAGAAGGTCTGCAGACCCCAAGAGCAGCGTAGTACACGTGTGAATTCCTGCCCTTTCGAATGCAATGAAATTGAAGCCCTGACGCGTGCGCCGGAAGAGACAGCCATCCGTTGCAACGAGCAGCTTGAAGGCTGGGGTTGGGCCGTGATGCGTGAAAGCCCTAAGCACGCAGACGGGCGGGGGCTGCCTGCAACTGGGAAGAGGCTGCTTAGATGCGGAAGCAGAAAGCAAGAACTACTCCCAGATGTACGAGGTATGCAAGATGTTGCTAATTTGTTTGCTGCTTGTAATTGAAGCCAGCACAGCTATATTATATTCTTATTTGTGTCCAGTCGGTTTAATTCGCACAAGAGGAACATGTTTCAGAGTTTCAGTTTCAGCAGAAGCTTTGCGTTCAGCGTATCGATGTGGGCCCGTTGTTTTTTTTCTGTTTTTCTTCTTCTCTCCTCGAGCTATACACGAAGAACGCGCGCAGGGGACTAAGCTCCCGGAGGACTGTCTAGGGGTTGATTCCCCATTCTTTTCAACCATCGTTCTTTTCGAAAACGGGATCCGTTTCCCATGGTTTTTGGTGGTTGTCTGGAAAGAAGGTTCCCTGCAAAGAATGGGCAAGCTGCCCTTTGAACTAGCAGCAGGGGCACTTCTACGAGAACCAGCTGCCGGATATCTGGGATCTGACGCTGCAGAGCGTGGAAGATGCGGAAGCGCACATTCGCAGCTTCTTCCGGCCGTTTCAGCTGCAGCTGGTTTCGGTGGGAGGCTTGAGCAGGCAGGTCAGATTCATAGGCGTCCTTTGGTTGGTTTTCTTGAAAAATAGAGGGCCCTGGTTTAGATGGGGTTTATGCCCCATTTACCAGGGAAACCCATCGACTTTTCAAAAAGGCCACCTATGGTCAGGTTCTGTTTTCGTGGGGAAATGCATGTGAAGCCATGGCGCCTGAAACGATGTTGGGTTGTGCCAAGCGGCCTGGTGTCACCTTTCGGATCGCTTTGCATAATTGGCCGTCCAAGGGGGAACCATGAAAGGAAGTTTAGAAGGAACTTACCTAGTACTGGAGAACAGTATGCGAGAAAAGCCAAGGAACAGCTGAACACGAGAACTGGGGAATAGAAGCAGGGCGAAAACGTGGCGGCCCTGTGCGTGAATTTGACTCTTCCGTATGTGCGCAAACCACCCCTGTTGCTACGGTGGGTGGTCTCGGAGTGGGGTAGACGTGCCCATTGGCACGGCTGCACGTGCTGTGTTGTGACCTTCATTCGGTGAACCAGTTGTTCTATTTCTTTTTCTTTTTTTTCTTTTTTTTTGTTGTTGTTGTTGTTTCGGTTGTCAGTTCGCTCGCGCAGCAGCTATCAAGGTAAACCTTCCGCAGACTTTCGGCGGGTCAATCTGAAAAATATCGCACCTTCGTGGGCTGGAGAGAGCGAGAGGGAGAGACAGAGGAAGCCAGGGGAAAGGCAAAGAGGAAGGAGGACGAAAAAGGGAAAGAGAAGGAGGAGGAAGAGAAAGAGAAAGAGAGAGAAAAGAAAGAGAGAAAGAGACAGAGCCAGCGAGAGAGAGAGAGAGAGTGAAGGGGAAAAGCTTGAAGCTCCTGACTCCTAGCTGTAGTTCTTGAATGTTGGAAGCTTCCGCCCCAGCGGCTCCCGGCTGCAGCTTTCCCAGCAGACGGGGTCAAGGATCATGAAATGTCAAATGTCATTGTCGCTTTAATCGACTGGTCTCGGGGAATGGCGGGGGTTCAGTAACTTCGGCCGTGGCCGCGTTTTTTTCTTCTGGGCAGAATGGACCACCAGAGAACGAGCGAGGAGAGGGAGAGAGAACGAGGTTCATTGCCATCAGCTTCCCGATCCATGCCTCGGACATCCTGTTGCAGACGCAAGCCGCAGACGTCGTCAGACGTATTCCCGCAGAATCTATGGCCAGCTGCTTGCCTGAAACATTCGCCCTTGTTTAGCTTCGGCGGGCCGTGAGCATGGTTGTGGGAAGTTGGGTTTTAGGCCTACTTTCTGCGATACCGAGGGAAACCCCTTGAAAGCGACAAGGCACGCATTCACGAAGGCAGCACTTTGGTGCCAGTACTGTATCACAGGGTCATTTCCTTCAGCCATGGCGCATCAAACGCTGAGGCTCCGCAGCTGGGCGCGAGCCGCTGCTGCAGGACTGGCTTTCCAGGCTGAACAGGGCGGAACCGAGCCCCACAGCCAGGCAGCATTAGCGCTGCGTGGTTCAGGTGCCGAGGTAACCATGCCATGAAAAGGGTATCAATGTCCTATTTTTTTGTTTTTCGTTTTTTTTTTTTTCCGCTTTGACTCTTATGTAATCAGGTTAGAGTTAATCCTTTGTCCCTAATACTAACCAATAACCCACCCGAGGGGCTTTATTATTGGGGTCCCCGGGTTTTGGGCCAGAACTGTTACAGACTGCGTTGATTACGGCTGGCATCATATAGGAGAAGAGGGACCCCTTCGTGCCGAAAAGTGGTCAACATGCACTTTCCGAGAAATAATTTTTAAAGGGAGGGGACCCTTGCTTTTCAAAAGCGAAACCTTCTGAAGGGAACCCAATGGAGACTCGAATGGGACCTTGTCAAGCCTTTAGTGACCCCTAGTAAGCACATCCGCAGAGTTTCGCTGAGTGGATCCAGGTTCGAAAGAGTTTAGTTTCGGTTTAGTATTGGGTAATTTAAAACAAGTATTGGCATTTTTGGTGTCGGCTGGGGGGGTTGTATTGTTAGGAGATGTTTTAATGGAAAGAAAGGATTGGACCCTGTTACGAAACAACATCTCGGACACATTGGTACCGACGGGCTGCTTTACCTAGCGATGGGAGTGCTGACAAATGAGGCTTTTGCTATGGCAGGGCGCATGTCAGTCAGGCAGCCTCAACAAATGATGCTTCCCCCTGACTGATGAAGGCCACCTTCCCCGGTGTTCTTTGTAGCCCACCCATTGAGAAAAAGAGCTTTGACCAGGACCTGGCTAACATTGTGAGCAGCAGCAGGGGGAGAAGACGTCGCTCACAGGCGCGTTTGCTTCGGTACTAGCTTGCCGGCCCGTGCGCCAACTGGATGTTTTATTCTCTCGCTGCAATGCGAAGCCTGCCTGTGATTTGAAGCTTGTTTTGTCGCGTGCTGACGCTAGCAAAGAAATTATGGAAGCAGCACAGCTACGCCATTGTGCCTCTAGCCCAGGTGCGATTTGGCAAGCAGCCTGTATCACGAGCAACCCGAATGCTGGGCCGTGACTCTAAGCATACTAAAAGCCACTCAGCTGCGCGCTTTAAACGAACAAATCTATCTCAACGGCCTTGCCGGGGTGCGACTTGCGCAGAAACCCCAGCATTCGCTGAAGCGTGCCGGGATTTGGTCATTTGACCTGCCAGGAAGACGGACTAAAGCCAGGGCCCCGGTGGTGTTTCCAGCGGCTCATCAGGGCTTGCTGGCAAAAGGGCCACTGTGGTCGCCTTTGCGGCACTGATCCCTGGAAGGTTGGAGAGTAATCTGGATGTACAGCTTTGCAGCAGTTCTTCCATCAATGAAGGTTGCAGGCACTTACCGTGAGGATTTGCAGGGAGAATGCGTGAGACACGTTTGGCAAAGTGATAGAACCCTTTCACATGCAGGTCAATGAAGTGTGACGTGAAACGTGCTGGAGATTAATCTTTGTCTTTTTCTTTTTGCTGAGCTCATATAAAGGGCGCGATCCAAGTTTTTGTGTGCAGGACTTGTTCGATCCAGTAGGTGCAGTGGGCAGTTTCTCTGGTGGCAAACCTTGGAACAGGAGGCATCTCCAACAGGCGATTGCTTTGAGCAGTCAGGTGCGAGGACATTTGTATCAACAACCTCGACGAGGAGGAGGTGCCTTGCAGAGGAAAGTAGGAAGGGCGCAGAAATGACTTGACTTGAAGCCAGACTTGAAGCCATGTGAGTCACAATCAAAACCCGGGTAGATGAAGGTTAGTAAGGGACGATCCCAGCCAGAAATAGGCGCGTAGTCCTTTACATGGTTCCGGGTCCACCGTTTTTGTACCGGGTTTTGATTTTTTGAGGCATGTCAACTCCCCCAACGGCATGGGCCAAGTTGCCGGGTGAACTCTTCAAGAGGTGAGTGCGACACCGAGGAATTGGCGCGAGAAGTGGCCAGATCGCTGAGGTGTGAGCTCTCTGACCAGCTGATAGGATTGCCCAAGGCATCCATCCAGAGCGAGACTTCCGAGACCTATTTGAGCCTTTGACTCCGCTGATGGCTTTGGCGGGCAAATCGGCTCGCTCAAGCCAAGGGGACCGAGTCAGACTGTACAGCGCAACCCAACCCAGCGGCTGTCCAGGCCGACGCTGGATGTAAATTGTTTCCTTTGAGGATCGCTAGCTACGGCAGAGGTTTACAGCACCAGCTCTCCGCGACCTTCTGCATAACTTTTTTTTGCCGTGGCCACCGGCATCTGAGCAAAACCATGCGTTTTGCCAGCAGCGGTCCGCATTCAGCAGGTGCCACTGCGGATCATTGTTCATGGGGGGACAATGGCTGACGCAAGGAGCTCGCTGTGGCCAAGCTAAGCATGTTGATTCGTGTCTCAGGGCGGTAGATGAGGAAAGCATGTTTGATTATACAGGGCTCGATGTTGCCTTTCAGCTGGGTTTCGACATATGCACGGCCGGTTGGGGTGGCAAAGTCTGTGGAGTGAATTCAATGCAGGAGCGAAGCCAGCAGCAAAGGCTTGGGAGCCGAGCGGCGGGTTTCGGAGTTTGATGTTAGCACTTCACTCGGAACAACTTGGCTGCTATTGGGTTGGATCTTTAGACATTAATTTTGGGATTTAAAGGTGTTTTCCTCTAAACCCCCAAAAAAGTTTAACTTTTTGCAGGGGGGTCGACAGCAACCAAGGCAAGGTCTCCGAAACGAACAGACTAAGATCCCGTTTTGCGTCATCCGCCGATCCTCTGGGACTGCGCCAGGGTCGGGGCAGGTAGCGCTGAGGGTCAATGCATATGCCTTGTCAACACGTCGCCAAGGGACAGCTGGTTTCTGCACGTCGCCAAACAAACGTCGCTGGAGATGTTAGTTCCTTTCTGCGTCGTTACGGCAGCTGTGCTCAAATATGATCCCGGGCTAGCGGCAGACAAGATGTTCTTGTGGCCTGTGAGTATGCCTCACAGGCCCAACAGAGTGTGTGCATGGATGTAGAACAGGTCAACTCTGCTTTCAGACAAGCATGTTTGTTTCTAGAAGCAGGTATGCCATGCTTGTGCACCATAATTTGAATGCCAGGCACCTCATCGGATGAGCTACCTGGCAGACAAGCCACCAGCACCCCACCCTTGCCACTGCAATCAACAATGGGTAGGTGTCAAGTGATGCTGGAGAGAGAGAGAGAGAGAGAGAGGTGTGTCAAAACAGGAAAAGGGTCTTTCTCTTTTTGGTGCCCTTTAAGCCAGCATGCAAAGGGAGCCCTCAAAAGACCGAAGGGCCCACGCACAGACACACAGACACCCATCGGCACGGGGATGGACAATGGCTCTTCTGCAGGAAGGCGGTGATTAAGAGAATGAAGGCTTATCACGTTGCTTTGACATCCGACCTTCAAGCTGTGACGGAGGCTCCGGCTTCTTGCGTTGTGTATGGGTGTGTGTGTGTGTGCGATTCGGCAAACCCAATTGAGAGCTTTGCGAGTTGGACCTGCGGGATGGATGCGCGTGGAGTTCTCCGCATTGCAACATATGGCTGTGGCTCCAAAAAAACCGGTACCCAAAATGGAACCCTGGTAAATGGAAACATGGACCAAAACCTGCGAAACCCTAGCTCTTAAATTTTGAGCCACACCCATATCTTTGGCGCGGAAGTCTTTCTGCCCTTTGGAAGGTTTTCCCCATGCCAAACAGATCAGGCGGCATGCGTGCAGGCATGAACCTTTTAGGCGTATCACCATCTCACCTTTCTGTTTATTGGCGTTGTTCCTAGTAATTATTCATCATGAAGACCCAAGTGTTGGGTTGCTACTTGTGTGCCGTGTCGAGACACATGTTTTTTTTTGTGCTGGGGCCCATCCGTTATTTTGCTGGAAATGGGCCGTCACTGGCTTCGACGTCGAGCGGTGAGTGCAAAGCCTTTAGATGTGCGAGATGTGGATGTGGGTCAAAAGTAGGTACCCAAAATGAACCCTGGTAAATGGAAACAAAGACTCAAACCTACGGTCCCCGGGTGATGTAATTTTGACACTAGTCTCGCAGATTCTAGTCGCTGGTGGGCATTTGACCCAGGAGCGCTGTTTTTTGATTTTCTGTCACGACAATGTCGTTGAACGCTCAGGGGCTTTCTCACCAGCCCTGTTCCAAATTAGACTGGTATCTGTTTCTGAATGCTCCCAGCGACACTAACTTCATGCCTGGCGCTTCCAGCTTGAGTCAATTTCGCTGGTCTATGAGGTCGGTGAAGGCAATCAAGGCGCGAAAGACTTCTTTGAAGGGCACGCCGCTTGTGGAGGCTGCCAAGGCGCGATGAAGAGCAGCGGGGCTTTGTAACGATCGCATGCTTCCATTTTGGGTGATTACGCCAGGTTGGCGATTTGCAGAAGCTGAGCGACTCGCCTGGCACCATTAAGCAGGAAATCCTGACGCGGTCAGCAGAAAGGGCTAGCAGGAGTCGGATAGTTGTTCAAAGCGAGCCCGTCAATTGCTCGCCGCCTAAAGCTGCCTCTGCCGCTTTGCGTGCATGCAATTTGTTTCTCTTCAAGTCGTTTGCCTTTCGGCTTTCTTGCGCTTCCATGCCAAGCCAGGTGCTTTGCTCGCTCGCGGGGATGAGGCGGGAGAAAATGGTACTTCTTTGTTCGACTGGCCTGTTTGCTGTCAGGGCGTGATGAGGCACTTGTCCATAGTATGAAATAGCAATTATTTGGTATCAAGTCCTTCCCCTCGGGTTTAGATGATTCGTGAATCTTGGAATAGCCGCCAGGGTCCATGCAGTCCATGCATACATTTACATGCCGTATTTGCCTTGGGATCGTGAGCTACGTTCTCGTGGGAACTGGTCAAAAAATCGATGGTCGAAAGGTCCACGTGGGCGGGATGGGGAGCTCACTAGATTTACCCCCGCAAAAATCAGGGGTTCACTACTCGGTGCTTTCCGGCCGATCCTTGAGTGGCACTAGTGGGAATCGCGCGCCCGCTGTCAGAGTCAGGGCCTGAAGGAGGCGCTGCACGGCGCCTGCGCGGAGGGCCAGGAGCAGGCGGTACAGGCGCTGCTGAAGGCCAAGGCACAGGTGAGCCTCGGCGCTGGTTTTGGTTTTGGTTTTGGTTAGGCTGGACTCGTCTTTTTTTTTTTGGGGGGGGGAGAGCTGCCCCCATAAGAAGGGGGGGGCCGTGGTTTTTGGTGTGAAACTAAAAAGGGAACGAGGGCTTGGTTGGGGGCGTGGGTTTCTTTTAGTTTGTGAAACCAAAAAGAAGAATCACAACTTTGGGAGGACCCGGGGAAAAAAAAACAAAACACGGCCAGATTGCTTATGTTCACCTGTGGGCTTTGAAGGTCATCCAATTGTTCACTACTGGGATTTGTGGATTGTGTTTCCTTTTTTTGTTCTTGGTCCGGGCAACTCAAGAAGAAAGATGGAGCCAAGGAGATAGGGAGGTGTCCAAACTTGTCTTCGGAGGGAGCTAAGGAGGTTGGACTTTGTAAGGAGGTAGTCGGTGTATGAGGCGGTCGCCTGCATGTTTCTGTTGAACACTCGCTTTGCCGCGTTGGGTTGTGGTCATGTGTGTGACAGTCTTGGCTTGTCAGAATGTTCCCAAGGGAGCAATTAATTGCGGTGGGGTTCCAAATGCAAGTGCATGTTCGGTGGTTTTTGCTCGCCCAAGCATTTTGGAGGTCAGGTTTGGAGAGGCGAATCAATCGAAATCAAGTTCGCCCTTTCGCTTCCGACATGCCTTGCCCCCTTTGCTTAAGGCTTTGCAGCTTCCCAGATGTTTGAAGTTATCTCTTCGCTCACTCCGGAGAAATTAGGCCGCCCTCCCTTTGAAACGCGACGAGCTACGATTTTTGGTTTCCAAGGACTTTGCGGTTTGCTTGCGTTGCGGCCGCTTTGGTTGTTGTTTCCATCCTTGCATCGTTGCCACGCTCCGTTGGCCGAGCCATGCACCAGATCCATGTTTGACTCAGCACGGGACACCTTTCTCTCACTCTCTCTGCCGCTGCGTCCAGAGGGTCTTGACCCTACAATTCTCCATAGACTTGATCACCATTGGGCTGATGCAGGCGGCAGAGTCGTGCAACCTCCTGCTAAAGATTGCCTCATCAGTGGTTTCAGAGAGAGAGAGAGAGAGAGAGAGAGAGAGAGAGAGAGAGAGAGAGAGAGAGGGAGAGAGAGAGAGAGAGAGAGAGAAAGGGAGAGAGAGAGAGGGAGAGAGAGGGAGAGAGAGGGAGCCTCAACACATGTTTTTGAGATGAAACAAATCCTGCCGAAATCTGTGCCCCTGGGCAAGTCACGTCCGGCGGCTCACGGGCGACTTCCCAGGAACTCGAGGGACGGCAGCGGGCTCACACCGCTGCACGTGGCAGCCTTCCGTGGGGACCAGCAGGCGTCGTAGTCTGCCCATATGGCTGTGGGTCACAGCCAATGGTACCATTTTGGTTGGTAGGTGCACCACCCATTTTAGTCTATTTTAGTTGGGATTGGGATGTTCACTGGGGGTACAGGCTTTTGACCCATGACCATTTGGCGAGCCCTCTGTTGTAAGATGAAGGCACTATGATTTGTAGGTCGTCTTCCAGCACCCTCCAAGGGGTATCAATTGGTACCCAAAATGGCTCACACTTCAGGTACAAATGGACCACCCTTGGAGCCTTGGAGGATGCTGGTTGGGGATCCAATTCGTAGTTTGCCGCAGGTGTTTTTGGAAAGATGTTTTGTGAATGCGTTGTGAGCCGGCACTTTGAGCGTTGCTTGGTATGAACTGCTTTCACAAGCTCCACGCGGCCGAGCCGCTTCGAGCGCAGGTGGTGCGGGTACTTTGCTCTGCCAAAGCTGATGTCAAGGCGGTCGATGAGGAGGGCTGGACGCCACTCTACGCTTGGGAGCCCAGTGTGACAGGCTCCAAGTGCCTGGATGCCCGTAGCTATATGCCTGACATGCAGGGGATTCGCCTGCGACATTTGCACGGCTGGTTTAGAACCTTCCATACAAAGCCGCACCTTTGCAAGGTGGTTGCAGCCTTCGGTGGCCAAGCAGATGTGGCCCGGGTCTTGCTGACGGCAAAGAGCGACGCACCCTGGCCTGCAAAGTTGGGGAACGAAGAGGGTGACACGGTGGAAAAGCTGCTGAAGGAAGGTAATGCTTCCTGTCATGCGTAGCCGAATTATCTATTCTATCTATCTATGAGCAGCATTTGACAGCGGAGATTCTCAAGCCTGGTGCTCCACTTGTGATACACGCATCAACAGCCGTGTGCGGCTGATTACTTACTTGCACTTGCAGACGGCTTTGTGTTATGTGCAGTACCTTCGAGCATCTTGGGTGGCATGCTTTGTTTGCTCGCCAATTTGGACCCTTCAGCCTACAGCTCCACATCGAACCTTCAGTCGTTTGGATCAATCTAGGCTTTGGTCTTGAATCCCGGGCCAAGGACCTTTGAGAAAGCAGACTCAAGCCAGAGTCGATTGAATAATGCCCCGGAAAAGGGCCATTTTGAACCTTGACTCCCCCAACATCCAGCTAAAATATTAGATTCTATTTTTGCCTCGGCTCCCAACGTCACGCATCCTTAGCGTCAGTTGTATAGCCTTCGTTCCCAGAACCTGTGCAGCCCACAAGGAAATTCGACTGTTTGGATTCCTAGTATTGCCAGCGCCGCTAAAAAACCAGTTTCTTTTAAAGCTGCATCATCCCAACTGGCTGCGAGTTTGCGTCCGAGCGATTCCCACGCCAGCAGCAGCAATACCACGTGCCCAGTCGTTTGCAACCACACGCACATCCAAAAGGTCCAATCCACGGCGTGTAACTATTGACCTGGGCGGCCTGATGGTGTTTCGGGTCCACCAGCCTGAGCATGGCGGTGCTAAAGTGGTTCTCACCCTGGCCAGTGGTGGATGCTGCACCTCTCTTTTCGCCACCAGATCACCTGCATCACCAGCTTCGACTCCGGCCCGGCAAGAGTGGCAGCCGCCAATTCTGTCAGTGTGTCCGGTCTGTTTGTTTGGCGTGTTTTGGCGGCAGCCCAGCTGGCTGCAGCCAATTCGAGGACAACCTCAAAGATGCCGAGCAAGCAGTTTTGGCAGTGTCCGGGATGCTGATGATAAAGGTCAGAGGGCTTGTGGCGGCCCAGAAGCCTTCGGCTAGGGCTACTGACGCTCGCTAAAGCTCGCTTGCGAGTACATAGCTCCGCTGGACTTTAGTGCCTCCGAGTCTGAGCCAACGTTTCGAACTTGGCTCATGTCTTCATACTTTCTTCTTGTGAGTTGTTTCGGGCATATGCAGCTTGTTTTGGTGCATGTTTTGTAGGCAACCACCCAAAATCGCACCAAGCTGGGCGTCGATCCCGCCAAGAATCTGGCAGTACTGTAGCGTGAACGTCGCTGTAATTAAGCTCCTGGGGCGGAGGAGGGGGTGTATCGGGGCCCCGGTGCCATTGATGTTTCTGATGCGCCGAACAATGCCGGCGGAGAACGCCAACATGCTGGGCGTTACAACAACTGTTAGCAGTTTTTGCTCACAATGTTGCAGGACTGTTCCTCCAATTGTTTGGCATGTAGTAAGCAGCGTCCCTGCAATCTTGCAGAGAATAGCCCCAAACCTTGTGCGTGGGGTAGCCTTTGACAATGCGCACAGAACCGCCAAGCTAAATCAAGGCGTTTGCGGGGTTTCTAGCAGAGCTGCCGACAAACACATGCCGCTATTCCAAATGTCTAAGATGCAAGGGGGCATCCCTGCAACGCTTATTTTTGCATTGCCTGTATATAATGTTTTTTTTGCATCTATAGTTACATATGTGGTTATTTATAACTGCATGTCTTGCTTATTTTAACTAATTTGTTTACTTACTTAATTTGGTTTTGTCATTTGCTTATTTGCTTATGTACACGCATGGGTGCACAACAAAACCAATGGTTCAACCCATGTGCCTCGCCCAAGGTGAGCTTCAAGACCTCCAAGGGCACGACAGTAGCCATGGCCGCCAAGCAGAAAGGTGGCCGAGCGTCACTTTGTGCGTGCGTGGGTGGGTTGGTGTGGGTGGGTGGGTGGGTGGGTGGGTGGGTGGGTGTGTCTATGTGTGTGCGTGGGTGCGGTTTCTTGCCGGCGCTCAGCAGGGAATCAGCAGAGGTTTTCGGAATGAACCTAGGGATCCCTTCAAAGCAAACCGCAAATGTTCATACAACAAAAAACTATCCTTGGCTCATAAACGCTTATTCCCTTATTCCCCACTGACCCTTTCCGGGGTTGGCCTAAGGGGACCAAACAAGAATTCACACATACAGTTTGGGGGTTTCCTCATTTTGGCACGTACCCATTTTTCAAGCATCTCCATTGAAATTGCCTGCAATCGGCACTCACGAGGGGTCCATATTGCACACTCCCAGGGGCAAGGATACAAGATCAGTTTGGGCCGGCCTTGTAGCTCTGTTGTCAGGACTTCTCAGGCATTCAAATGAGTTACTGCATGGTTGAGTTGCTGCATGCTTGCTAGACGGTATTAGGACAAATGAAGAGCTCGACCGGATCTGACAAAGCAACATCATGAGAGCTCGAGTTGGCGCAGTCATCCCTTGCAGGGGGCAGATGAGGGCAAACAAGTTTGCCCCAAGTCTAGTGTGAGCAAATACGTGTCAGCCGTTGCCAAGCCAACGTCAATCTGCGGTTGTTGGATTGTTGTTTGCTTTCTCGCTGTTTTGTGTGTTATTCTTTTGGCTTGCTGCCGTTCCGCTGTTTAACGTGATGACTTTCCAGTTCATTGTTGCGCGCAAGTGATGCGAGGCCCGTTCGATGCCAGGCTTCAACGAGCTCTTGAAGCTTCTGAATGCCTAAGACAGGCGGGTTCGGGTGAACATGAATGTGAGAGTGTGAAGCTTTGCTGGTCTTTACCAGCTTCTTCACGGCCAGCTTGGTACTTGAGTTTTGTCGCTGTGGGTGACATCTCTCCCCTGTATCTTCAGTTTGAGGTGATTTTTTTCTAGAACTTGACTCTTAGAGGAGGTGAAGTTATACTGGGCTTTACAAGTTGTTGTTTTTTCTCGGAGCTTTGTCAAGCTTTGTGATGCCATGCAAGCAGGTTGTGCTTAACACATTGTGTTGAACAGCCACTAAATGTTCAACGCTTGCAATCTCAGCCGGGCAACAAGACAAGGGTGTAAAACTGCAGCATGCTTTGCAATCCGAACCTCAATGATATGCACCCTCAGGGCAGGTGTGCCAGAGTAGGTGTGCAATTTTGCATATAACGCCGCGTGTTATGGCCCACACATTGAGGTGCTCCGCATGTTTAAGATGCATGCATCAAGTGTACCGGCGGATATTCATGGGCAATGCTGATAGATCATGTTTGTTTTGGTCACTGGTCATCAGTGATTTGGCCGGGATATGTTTGCCCTTTTGGTCATCTACAAGGGTTTTTGTCCTATAGTCAAATTGATGGAGAGAGCTTGGTCCCTAGCTCCCAGCTGGCCTTGAGCAGCCCAAGGCCAGCAAAGGTAAATGTCAAGTAGCCGGCTGCCCTGTACCGGACATGTTTGATCAACTTGTTTGGCCTATTAAATGTCAAGGTGTTTGAAAGTTTGACCTCAGCTCGCCTTGCTGCCATGTGCTGGTTTGGCTTATGTTTCGACTTGCTTGGCCGCTTTGCTTGCTCGCATGCTGCATGCCAGACAATTTGACACTTGCGATTGCAAGTGTCCCTGCACAGAAAATGAGTACCTGCAAACCAGTGGTTAGTTGGCTTTGATTCTTGGTTGATTTCTTTCCGTCACTCAGCTCGGAGGCGTGTCGCTGTTTCGGCCACTGAGCGCTTTGAGGTTAATGCCGCAGAGGCGCCAAAGACGCGCTGGGGAAAAAGGAAACATGTGTTTTGCGATTGGTGCTGCATGATTGCAGTTGGCCGGCCTGCGTTAATTATGAAATAACGTCAAATGCAACATGGTTCAATTCCTGGGCCAATTTCAGCTGGATCACGGCCTCCTGTGTGCATTCAGGTAAGATCCAAAGGCATGCCATACCAGCAGGCCTCAATAGTTTGTGACCTGGCTTCAACAACAGTACGATTTCATCAGGAGCTCAAGTAGGTGCGGTATTTAGGCTCATTGCTGATGCAAAGTCGTTCAGGGACCCGCAGGTAGAAAGATGACTGACACTTGCATCACCTCGCAGGCCACTGTTTTTCGCCTAAGCCGCCGGGTGCCGGTGACAAGACCTGTGAAGCCCTGGCCTAGGTTTATGCACTGCTTCCGGCTGCAGTGGCGCAACTCTCAGGCCTGGGGTTCACCAGACCGGCTATTGGAGATTCGAAGCTGCGGCCACGCTGCTGCGTACTACTCATTCTAGTAAGGCACTGCGCCTTGATCTCATTCCTGCGTTTATTGGAGTGTTTCCGCCCTAGGCCGGCGGAAGTTTGAGTCAAGCGGCACACCAAGCCCAGCGCAAATCCAGGCCAAGCTCCAAGAGTGCTGCGAGCCGTTGCCCTCGGATCTCCGCGCCTCGTCAAATTTGGGCGCCTGGTTCCTTTTTTGGGGCGAGGGGCGACTTGGGCGATTCGGCGGATGTGCAAATTACGGCGCCTGCTTGAGGATGAGTGAAAGCCAATCAAGTCTTTGCTGGGTGGCTAGAGGAAGACTATGAGCGCCTTCACTTTGGCTTGAAAGGCTCTGTCTTTGTATGTCCCTGGTGCTGCAACCCAGTGATCCAATGGGATGGATCGCCACGTGAGCCGCAGGTGAGTCCTTGGCAAAGCTGGAGGTGCTTGAAGGAGCTGAGGCTGGGGATCTCCAGTTCTGGTGAGGCTTGCTTTCCCTGTTCTGGGGAAGGCTAGAAACATGGAATTGGGGGATCCCCCTCCCCCTGCCTCTTAAGGTAGGGGGTACGTTTCGATCAGTTTGCATGGACATTGGGCTTGGCAACCCCTTGTTGGTTTTGCGTCACGTCTGCCCGCGCGTGTTGCTTGTTAATAGCTGCTTACGGCAGTTGCCAATTCCCTTGGCAGCTATCTGTGGTGGAAAGAAGCCCTTCAGGAGCTTCAATACTCCAAGCGGCAAGGTTTTGAGCACCCTTACCTTGCATGACGATAGCTGAGTTCAAAACTGCCTCAGACGGCCAGGAGCTGTCGATGTGGCTGGAGAGGCCCGGACTTTTGTGGCCTGTTGCCGCTTCAAAGGAGACGAGTTGGTAACGTGCATGCTGCATGCGCCAGAACGGCTTTCCGAACCTGTCAGAACGGAAAGCGACTTGCCCTCACTCCGTTTGAATTTGTTGCTTCATGTTCTATCCGGGCATTCGTCCTGCGTCATGCTCCTAGAGTGGAGGGTTTGTTATACCCAAATATCTTTGGCCGAATCGCGATGCTGCCTGGGCCGCATTTCTGGTAATTAACCCATTGCTGGCGAGATTCGGCAACGAAGATTTGGCGATCACCCCGGTTGCGGATGCCCACCACTGATGCCGCCGGCACCTTGGGCGCTGGGCACCGGGCAACCGGGCGGAGGCGAGTCTGACGAGCGCCCTGAAGACGGGTGCCAGATCCTGGAGGCGAGCTGGCAATGAGAACCACGGTTTTTGAGTCGAAATTGGAGAGACGAGGTGTCTAAAAGCATGTTGAGTTGTAGTTTTTTGTTTTTTTTTTGAGAAACAAAGTACCAAACAATAAAGAACACACCTTTTGTTCTGGCATCTCCTTTGGCTTCCCACTGATTCAGTTGCGCGCTCATAGCCTTCTGATCCTTGTCCGGCCTCGCAGCCGAGCAGCCGGCGGCTCGAGCCGGCGCAATGGTTTGCGAGAGCTGCCGTGTGAGGGCACCAAGGCGGGCTGATTGCTGTCGTCGCCCATGCCAATTGCCTACTGAGGCCTGGGCCTTTGCGCAGGCATCCCATTAATGCACATGCCACTTCTTACTTCTTGAGTGCACCAAGTACACAAAGTTGAGGTGCAAGGCGCACACCTTGTGGCAGCCAACGCTTTTGACCGCCATCGATTGTAAAAAGGGGGCGTTTGTGCCCGAGGTTCGCGGCTTCCCCTTTCTTTTTTTTTGGCTTCACCAACAGCCGACCTGCCTGGTTGGGTCCGCCTTCACCGCTCCCAGCCTCAAAGTCATAGAGCTTTCCTGCACGTCCGCGCGCCTGCACCATCACATTCCACTCTACAACGTCTTCCACACTAAGCCAAGACTTTGCGCAGATTCTGCAGAAGATTGTCGGCTCATCCCTTCGCCTTTCCACCACTCCCTCCACCTGGCTGACCTCTCATTCCAGGCCCACTTTACCCTCTTGACCCAGCAGAGCTGAACATCCACCATTTGCTGCCATCCAAGCGAGGAGCATGTCCGTCACCCTCCCGGCAAGTCCTAGAGGGCCAAGAAGCTCACCTGGGCTCCACTCCCTGAGCTGCCCGAACCAAAACTGGCGCCAGCATCGAACACCTTCACCTCCTGCCGCGCATCTGAAAGGCGCTTTCTTGCCTCCACCACCGCTTCCCTACCTGAAGACGCCCTTTTTGGGGCGAGCGACTCGTCCGGAGCCGCCCTTGCGCTGAGGCCCTCGCGGCCGTCGCACGAGCGGCACGGCCGCATCCTGGCAGACGCTTTTGCCAAAAGCGTCGACGGTAGAACGGGCGGGCCCATGCCCAAAGCTCACGTCAAAGAACGCCAGCTTCCCGCGAATAAGCGGCGGGTCCTTGCTCTGCAATGAGGATTCAGCGTGTTTGACCCGGCAATTGAAGAAGTTAGGCAGGTGGTGCAGGCTTCCGAAGCTTTACCGCATTCCCTTTGGTGGCGAACTGTGGAAGGGCAAAGTCAATCATCATGGCCACCAAACTCTCTACTTGCTTATTTGGCCATGGATGGGCACTGGCCCCATCCATCGCACACTCGCGCAGCACACCGCCTTCACCGAAATTCTCATCGTGGACGGCATCCACCTGCTATGATTCTGTGGCTGCAGAAGCTTGAATCTTCCAATCAATGTTGCTTTTTGGGAGTGATTTCAGGGCACTGCCCATCTCATTTGAATAGTCGGAAAGTGGTCGAATTTGAGCATCAGCTTTGCAGCTTGCGTTTCGTATGCCCCTCTAAGGAAAAGAGTCCGCCTCATTCTTTGAGCCTCGCGTCCAGCGAGTGCACCTTTGCTTAAGTGTGACAGTCAGCGGGGCGCTTGCAGCATAGCTTGCCTTCTCGACGGCGCGGTTTATTGGTTCAATGCTCCGGTCGTTTCAGTGTGGGGTTGCTTTGTTGAGGGTACTCTTTTCAGATTTAGACGGGTCTCCAAAAAGCCCGGCATTGGGGGCGCCCCCTATGTGACATACGACCCATGCCACTTCCGAGGCACTGCAGAGGCTATGCCTCCAGAGGCTGCGCCTCCAGAGGCTGGCGGCTGTACCGTGTATTTGGCCGCGTTGTTCATTCACCGCACCCAGAATGCCAATGTAGAACGCGTGTGTGTGTGTGTGTACCTGTGGTTATACAAGAGTGAAGATCACCACAAGGTTGGCAAGACAAGTCTTTGTCAGGGCCAGCTGTTGGCCACCATGGGCTGGCAGCGCGGGGGCCTGGAGCTATTTGAGTCCCTTCGCCTCCGGAGAACGCCCCTGGCCGGCCTGGCACGCAACAGGTTGAAGCATCGTCAAGCATGGCTTGGCCACTTGCCCTTGGAGCCGTGCCTGGGAGCAAGTTTTAACATGGCGTTGCTGAACCTTTGGCACAAAAACAGGCCAAAACAGCCGCGGGGAACAAAGCAAGCCATTTGAAACTCTTTTCTGGCATGAGAATAATGAGAAGGCATGCTCATTTCATTATGCTGCGGCTGAGGCGTGTGGACAGAGGCAAGGCAGAGTTTGCGTGCAGCGAGAGACAAGAAGATAAAGGGCAGAACCTCTCGCCTTCCTCAGCAAGTATGAGTGCCTGATGGTGTCACTAAATTGCAAACAAGTGCAAATGGTTCCAGGAGGTTCACAAGGATCCCCCTATTTTCAACCAGTTCAACATCAGGAAGCAACGTGGCCCGGAAGATTCAACCGAACCACCCGCAATGCAAATGGTATATTGGTTATGCTGAGTTTCAAGGCCCCGTGCCTTTGGTTCCTTTCCGAGTGCCGAAACCTCTCCGCATCTTGCTCCATCCTGGGTGCCCTTTGCCAGGGTGCTGTTCAGAGGCGAGCTCCATGAGAGAACCCGCGCGGGCGGAGCAGATGCTTGCCATGACTTTATTTCCCGTGCTGGTCCCATGCGCTGGGCTTGGCGCCTCGAAATTGCTGGCATAGAACAAGGCGAACACATCAAGGGTTATTGTTGTGCGCCTGCTTGTCCCAAGCAAGCAAGCCAACATGCAATGTCTCTGATGTACACAGTAGTCACTTGTGGCCTTTGGGTGCTGGACTTGTCAGGCACCTGATTTTTTGGTTCGGGGGGGTGCCGATGACGGGATTGGAACGGCTCCTGAGCCACGTCGAATTGCATCGAATTTGCTAAGAAGCTTGAGGAAGCTCGCCATCTGATGGAATGGCCAGCATCTGCCTCGACACTATCTCAGGATATACCGGCCGCAGCTTTCGCTATCTCATTCTGGATTGGAGGAGCCACTTGAACCGAGTTCGCTCGCATTTTTAGCGCGGCTGGATGGGCAGAGGGGGGTTGATCAGGCCTTCAGCTTTTGATCCAGCGCCAAGTCCTCAAAACCCAGCCAGAAGGCCGCCTTCTTAATTCTTTCATGGGTACGGGTCAAAATTACGCCACCAGGATATGGACCGCAGGTTCTAGTCCATGTGTCCATTTACCAGGGTTCCATTTTGGGTACCTATTTTTGACCCACAGCCACATGGTTTTGGGTAGGCCATTTTTTGGTGCCAGGTGTTGATTCTGACTCAGTTTTCGCGCAGGAGTCGGATTGCTGGGCCTTCCAGGAGCCATGTCGATGTAGGCCCGGGAGCTGCCTGCGGCGCTAGCCACAGGATCTGAAGGTGTAGCAATTTGGGTGTGGTTCTGTTTAGAGGATTAAAAAACAAAAAACACAACAACAAAAAAGCAAGCGGCTTTGCTTTTGGTTTCGCATGAAGCACCACAAGAAAAAAACATACCCACAAAAAACACCCATATCGACATCAGTTTAACATCAGATTTTGCGGGTCGGCCGGGGCTTCATTCCATCCGAGCCCTATGCAATCGCGCATTCCATGCACGAGAGGCGGCAGTCCACATCAAGCAGTTTGCCGCGGAGGCAAGCGAGGGGTTCTTCGGGCAAAGGCAGCGCCCGCTGAGGACGACAGTGGCGCTTAGCAATAATCTAGGGGTTGATTCCGATTCCATTCTTTTCAACCATCGTTCTTTCCAAAAGCCGATCGCTGTTTCCCCTGGCATTCTGAAGGTTTTCTGGAAAGAAGGTCCCTGGAAAGAATGGGGAAGTGTCCCCAGAAATAACTTATGTAACCTGGAATGGCTGACGCGCCTGGTTTCCCCAACGTCAGACTGTGTTGCCCATTGCCCGTGTTGGTCAAAAACAAAGGCTCGAGAAGCACCGACGAGTGGTTCGGGACAGCACATTCCTGTCAGATTCGAGCGCCAACTAAGATGATGCATGAACGATTTAGTCAACAATAAGCGGAGCCTAACGGGTTCGATGTATTCGCTTGCCCTTCCTTGAGAGATGCAAGGGGGTATCACGCAATGACCAAGACAGGGCCATATGGCAGGATTTCGACTACAGCGCTGACCCCCCTTGAGCGAAGCTTTTCAAAGGTTGCAGTGTTGCGCGTCCCGTGGTCCCTTGTGTGCGCATACCTCCGGCCAGGAGCTGTCAATCAGAATGCTCCGAATCCACGCGGGAGGTGCAGCTTGTTACATGTGCTGATATGGTCGTCCTTCCGCTTTCTTGCCGGATGCCTAGTCCTCCTTGCTACTTGTACTGAATCCGCGACCTCGTTGCTTTTCTCGTTGCCACTTGCAACGCTACACCTCCAGCCAGTTGCGCAACCCAAACCCGCTCCGTGGTGCTTGTGGCGGCGCCGCGAGCCTCGCCAGGAACAAGGCTTTTCCTTCAACGAGTCGCACAGGCGCGGAGCTCTGTGTGCCGCGTCGAGCAAGATGTAGGCAGCTTGCCAGCTTGTCCGATGGTTTGTGTGAACATGATTCGGAAGGCAGCACCCCCCCAAGGTGCAGCAGAAGGGGATTGTAAGACCTTGGTTGAACGGCTTTGGTGAGGCGACTCATGTGCACCGCAGGATGAGACAAGTTTCTTTCTTTGCCAGCTTCATGCCCACAATTCCCAACATACACAGCTGCGCAGGCCGAGCGAGTTTTTGAGATCTGCGCCTGCAGTGTCCGGGCCTTGGGTCTTGGCATTCTTGGGCGGGCACATGGCTTGTTTGCTCATTTGATCTTATTTGCCTATATTACTCAGGCTCGCACGTAGTGCCTTTCAATTTCATTTGGGTATGGGTCAAAATTAAACCACCAGGATATGAACGGCAGGTTTTACTCCTTGGTTCCATTTGCCAGGTTCCATTTTGGGTACCTATTTTTGACCCATGGCCATTTGTCGACCTCTTGCTGAGTGGTTGCCCGGCCTTTGGTCAGACTTTGCCTTGCTTTGGCTCCTAGGCCCGACCGGCGTCAGACGGAGGTGAGGAGCATGTGTCCAATGGATCCTTGGGATTCTGCTGCCTTGTGGCTGATCTTTGGTGCCCGTTGGTGCCCGTTTTCCGGTTAGCAGGGGGCCGGCTGTGATTTGCAGCAAGTTTCTTCCTTTGGCCCTGACAACATGCCACGTCTTGCTTGCGCAGCTGGCTGACAAGAAGAGACAAGCGCAACTTGCGGGTGGCAGCTTGTGCTCCCCAATAGCCAAATGCGCACCACATGCGCTAACCAGCGTCATCAACCAAGCACAATTCAAGGCTTGAGCATGTTCGTGGACACTCCGATCAACAATTCACGGTCTGGCCCCTCTGAGTCCGCGGTAGTTTCATTCCAGTTTTGTTCGGGACTCCAAGGTTTTTTGCCCCTCAAAGCAGGGTTTTCCTTGGGACCAGTCTTGCACTCAGGTCACCCCACTGCCAGCATCACCCAATTGGCATGTTGGCCCTTGACCGCATTTCTTTGCCCTCGAGTGCTGCTTTGTGCCAGTGCTTCATTTGTCTCAATCTGGCGATTTTAGCAGCACCTGTACAGTTGCCTGGAGTTTGATATTTATTTCGGCCTCCTTTTTGAGCACGGCTTGTGATACGCCACCGCAACAATTCATGTGTGATGCCGTGGGGATTATAGCGATTTTGGGACTAATGGGCTTGTGAGCCATGGCATCTATATACGTGAGTAGTGATTAAGAACTACCTTTCTCGGTTGTTTCCTCGAGCTTCAGGTGAAAAAAACACGTATTTGCACCTTAGAAAACCGCAATTTCACCTCATTTGTGCAGGGCAAGGGGCGCTTCACCTGTCATTTTGGGCTGGTGCAATCCACTTCTCGCCAATCACAGCTGCCCACATGTTACACATTCGAACCCCGGCCACCTCGCAGAAGCAGCAGAGGTCGAGGCGGGTTTGGGCAGAAGGCCGCCATGGTGTTGAATAATTGAATGCTACAACAACGAGTTTGGCAGGAATCTTGACCCTATATTGAATAAGCCCCCGTTTATCAATATGGTGATAGTTGGGATTGATCAGCTTTGGAGTGGAAATACTAAACTGGGTTGATTAGTATGGGGTCAACATTAGGTCACTTGGGCAATCCGAAAACACCTCACTTCAACACTTGCCACAGGGGGCAATCACATCTTGCGCAGAGTGCTCTGGCCTTGCCATATAACAAGTGCCAGCTGCCAGCTGCATGCAGGGCTGTCAGAAGCCATGCCATGCTTGTGAACAATTTGAGCACGTCTGCATATCAGACACATTATGCCTTGTCAGGCATATGGCTGTGGGTCAATAATAGGTGTCCGCTGGGGTGAACATTTTGACCCATACCCATATGATGGATGCGTTTCTGATGGAATGACATGAACCTGAACTTTTCACCAGCCTCCCCGCTGGGTCAAATCGCGGTCGGCCTTGGATCCAGGTGCTCAAACCGGGGATTCCGGGGACGTGTCCCTCGCCCCTTGCCGGACGTGTCCCTCGCCAGGCGGAAGAGCCGAGCTCGAGAGAGAGCCATGGTTCCAGGCAAGGACTTCGTGCTGGGTAGGGCGAGGTAGCGGGAGGTATCACTATGGTTGTGGATGTTGGGGGGGGGCGGGCCCACCAACATTGGGGTGTTCATTGCCTGCAAAATTGGGGGTGGGGGGGGCATTTTTTTTGAGGTAAAAAAAGGTGGTAAAGAGTTACTGCTACAGGCAAGGCGTAAAATATTGTCCTTGGGGAGCAAAGGAGACCTGATAGTTGAAAGCGGCATGGGCATGGATCTCGGTATTTGTTTCAGCGACTGCCTCCCATGGCAACGCGCACGCGCTTCCTGGGTTTTGGCCTGTCTGGCATTGCTCCTCCTTTTGCCCGGGCTTGCAGCACTCTATGGAGGGGTCTTGGGGCCGAGTATCCTCGGCCCTGGCCGCCCTGGCCGCGTATCCCATTGCGAGCGATCTGGCCAGGCCACGAGGTTGGGCGCCAGGCAGGGGCAAACCACGTCGTTGGCCATTCGTGAGCCGACACAACTGTTTACTCTTGGATGCTGCACCTGGCATCATGCTCTCGGCCGAACTTGCCAATTTGCCAGAGGTCGAATTCATTTCACAACCGATGCCATTGCATTTTTCTTCATCCTGCTGATGTTTTCCACGCTAGCTTGAATCTTGCTTGTTTCCCCAAAAAAAGGATATTTGATTCCAGCAGAATGGCGAGATTGGATCCACTGTTTCTCAGCGAATTAGCTAGTTCCTTGGACATACGCGCGCCCACGAAGGCAACACACGGATTGACAGTTTGAAAAGTTGTTTTCCAAAAGTTGGCTCCATTTGGCTCCACTCACCACGGGGAGCGGGGTTTCTAATGGGATTCAAAATGAAAGCTGACACCAACCAAAAGGAAACCCTTCTAAAAATGGAAGCTGCATTTGCTGGCTTTGATTTGCTGTGGAAAACCTGAGCTTCGGGACGCCGTCCCTTTAAAAGGGACATCTTGTCCAAACAACCCCGATTCTGCTACTTAGTGGTTTGGTGCTTTGGTGCTTTGGTGGTTTGGTGCTTTGGCAGTTTGGTTCGGGAGTGGTGCCAAACCAGCACCCCTCCCGACCTTGTCACCTGGATCTTTCGCGACGGCGCGGGACGCGCCGTCGCTTCGCTCAGGGCTCGGAGCTGTCGCGCCTGGAGCTCTTGCGCCGGCAGAAGGCGCGGGAGCTGCAGAAGCGCCTGCCGGGGCCCCCAAAAAGCCGTCCGGCGGTGGGATGTGCAGCTTCTTACCACCCAAAGGGGTGGGTTTTCAGCGACTCAGTGTGATGTTTTTTTTTGAAGCTTTCCGGTTTGTTTCGTGTTTGGGGGCTTCCGTTGACTAAAAGTGGAACTATCAGCAGGGGATCTGAGGATAGCCTAGTCACGTATCAAAATCGATTGGTGCATGTCACAAGGAAGAGCCCAGCACAGAAATTCGCACGCTGAATGCGTTCACAAATGTGTTGATCAAGCTTGTGGCTTTCACCGGCCATGAGCAAGTGAATCATACCTTTGAAAACTTCTTGGCTGTGCCATTGGGACAAGACAATCCAATGGCATCTCTATGCTTGGAAATCTCCTCATGGATGTTGCGAATGATCTGCTTCGAAGTCTCTTGATTGCTGAAATGCTCATATTCGCCTTGGCCGACAGATGTCCAACCCTCTTCCACCACACCACACATGTATCCAAAGCCAGCGAAGTGGCGTTCGGCCAGCGAAGTGTCGTTTGGCCACATCGATCGCACGGATTTCTGTGTTCACGACGTGATTTTCTGCGGTTCAGGAACCGCCAGTGGTAACAAGTTGCGCGAACCTCTTGATTTGTCTTGCGTGTCTTCTTGTGTTGTGGGGGGTTCAGCGCATCAGAAACATGGCCTAGGCCGTCTGCCCTTGTCAGCGCATAAAGGTGGATTATCAAGCACAGCTGTGCAATGCTGTGCAGCCTTTCAGCTCATATCGTTTGTAAGTGGGGAGGGTACGACATGTTGGCAAAGCAGCTGGGCTGCCAACACGAGGTACCAACTCAGATGAGTCTTGCCACATGAGATGGTCAGGGGAAAGACATGATAGCGGCTGTGGATTGCCTTGGTAGGTACGGGTTAGAAGGGTGTGGACGCCAGGTGTTGCAATTTCATGCATACACGATATGTTGTCAAGTGACGTGATGTGGTACCGAGGTGTATGTTTGCATGACTGGCAATATGATTGGCAAACAAGGGTCAACGGGCATAGGTCTCTGCGTCGCAGCTCTTTACCATGTGCTTCTGACATCATCAGTTGGAGTGTCTGCGTGCTGGTTCATTTGTACGGCTGAGGCAGCATATGGAGCATCAGTGCGGCCTCCTGTCGGAGGACTACCATCTCCTTGCTGGCATGGACAGGGAGCTGCTCAGTCCATTTGGCTTGGGTGTGACAGCTAGCCGTGTGTTTTAGCAGTTCGGTGCACTCGACGTGGACAAAGCAAGGTCTGTCAAACAGTTTAGCTGGTCATGTTTGACCAGTACAGCAACTGTAATTACTTGCGGGCCCAGGCAGATTTTGCAAGGCTCAGGTCGACGAGCATTGGGTTTTGGCAAGTTGCTCACAACCAGGTTCACTGTTGTGGTCTTGATCAGGGGGGCTGCAGCCAAGTTACCCGGCGAGTTGCAGAGGCTCTACCAGGCTACGGAGAAGCTGCGAAAGGCCTTCTGTCAGGAGAGGGAGGCCAGGTCTTTCCATGTCATCTGATTGGCTTACTTCAGGTACCACATGATTTTCGTTCAAGGTGTCTTGCATACCCAGCCAAAGTGACCCAATTGCCCAACTTGTGTGTGGCGGCTGACTGGGCTTGACAAGTCACTGCAGGCTGTCTACTGAGGCATTTCAGACATTCCTCTTTCTCAAATTCAGAGGGAGTTGCCATCATGTTTATGAAGCATGGGGAAGTGTTGAAGCTTGTTAGAGGCCGGGAACCGGCTTCCAGCCCCCGAGTCATGGATTGGGCACCACCTTTTGCAATGCTGTAGGGTTTTTCTCTCCACAGGCCTTGCGCCATTGACGCAGCAAGCGACCAGTGCTGAGGCAGGGGGACAGTGTGCAGTTGCGAGCGGAGTTTTGCCCGGGCAATTTGCGCTGTGGCAACCATGGGGCAGCATGGCCACAAGAAGCAACAGGCCCAGCAACACGGCCCCGAGCGATGCCGTTTGTGTATAGCAAATCCCCAAGACTCCCAGCATGTACCTTGGAATGAGGTGGATGGCTGCTATACCTGTGCGGTTGGAGCCGCTATAGGCTATACATGTGAGTGCGCGGCGTTTTGCTGAAACGGCGAGTGCGAATCGCGCATCCCCGAAATTCGCAGCAAGTTTACATGCCATAGAAGTTGTTAAATGCAATCCACCAGGCACATGAGTGCGCAAGAAGTTTAGTGGTAGAAGGTAGTCATTGGCTCAAAGCTAAGCACCAGCCATGGATTCACATCCAAGCAGCTCAACCAAGAAGCAAACATTTTGCAGGGCGTTGGCTTGTTGCCATGGATTGTTGTAGCTTTCGACTTGAAATTCGCGGACTAAGAGCCAATGGGGTGCAGGTTGGTCAAAGATTCCGGGCAAACAGCCCGCTGGTGTTTGAGTCGCCGGACTCAGCTTTTTGGTTGATTTGGTTATTCATATTTTCCGCATCGATGCCACTTGGCCGGCTGTGAAGCAACTTGACCAGCTGCAACCTCCCTGCAAGACAGGAGAATTAACACATTTTTCCACCGCTGAGTGGACATCCTGCGGGAGACAGCTCACTTGAGTGACGGCGGCACCGTCCAAAGCTGCTTCGTCCCATCCTCAAAGAGGAATCCATCGCAGGTTTAGATAGGTTTAGCAGAATGCGAAAAAACAGCGTGTCAAGTGGAAGGATTTGAGTTGGCTTAGGATCAATTCAAACTACTGGGCAGCTCAGAAACCGCTCAAGACAAATCAAGGAGGAACGTCAGAAAGGGACATCCTACACAGCAGATATCATCGTGCAATGTGTCGCCCAATAGTGGTTACCCGTGTGTGTGTGTGTGGTGTGTGTGTCAAGACTTGACCCATTCGCTCAGTGAACCAGCAGTTGAAGCTGCGAGTGATGCATTGGCTTGAATCAATCCTGTGCTGACGGGTTGGTTTGGGATCGCAGGATGCGCTTGCGCAGCTGGATGAATTTGTTGCATTTGCCCAAAGCCCTCCAGGTGAGTTACCACTAACAAGGTGGTGCAAGGGATGTGTATTGGAGAGGGTGAAAACCCTCAAAAACGAATCTTTAAAACAAAGGATTGTCATTGTGCATTGGCGGCTTTTTGCGCGAGCAGCTCTTGAAACGAAGGCCAGACGAAGCCTAAGCCCTTTTTTTACGAAGATGTGCTTTTGTGAATTCTGTCGCTTTTGAATCAGGATAGATGAGAAGTAGCCGCAAGAATTTGGGAAGACTCCAGTCTTTTAAACGAAATATTTAGGGATTGGTCAGTTTGGCTCTGGCGCGCTCTGTTGCACGCTGCATTTTGTGGAGTGAAAAGAGGGTGCAGAAAGAAGGGGAAGGGGTGTTTTCAGATTTTGCGTAATTTATGAGGTCTAATTTGATTTCTGCATGGTTGGCATGGACATACGCGCTTGTGCCTTTGCCGCCGAATTGCTTGCGCAAGGTTGCTTCGAACCTGACCGCTAGAAGCGACCGGAGCGGTTGCTGATCAGTGAAGGCAAGCAATCCGGGAAAATGCGCCGGTGTGCAAGGCGTGGTGGCAATCGAATGCGGGGTGGGTCTTGACGAACACTATATAATCCAATTCCCCTAGGTCCATCCCGTTGGAAACATTTGTTTCAGAATTGCCCACCCATGCAGCATATAGCTTGCCTTCTTTGCTGCAAGTCCCTGCAACGTGTTTTCCACTGGCGCATTCTGCAGGCCAAACAAGCACAGGCCCCAATGGGCGAGGCCCCTTCCACACAGCGGGATCTCACTTTCGCTGCTTTGTGGCTCACAGCCTTTGCCATCGTTGACAGGGCGTCCTGGCATGCAAGCTGGGGATGGAGGGTTTCCGAGGCACGAACCACTGAACATCCTGTTTCTTATCCAACACAAGCATGGTAATGTGGTCAAGGGCTCATTTCTGCACACAGATATGGCTAAAACAATATCCCAGCGTTGCCTCCTCTAACTTGCATGCTTGTTGTTGGGAAACATGTTACATTTTTGCTTATTGCGGTTTGGTGGGACGCCCCCCACTGAACTGCTAACATTTATATTTTAGCTCCCCTTCCAACGTCAACCAAGCTTACACCCTGGAGATCAAGCTTGCACCCTAACTTGGAGAGCTTCATTCCCAGAGCCATCCGTGTCATTGGGATTTCTTTCAGCAGCGCACAAGTTGAACTTTCCGACGTCGGCTTGAGTTGTTTTTATACTTTTCTTGCGTGAGTGTGGCGGAAGTCATGAGTTCAAATTGAGCTTGACTGGTTTTTGGAGTAGGTCATTCTTTTGGAACTCAGCTATGTCGCTGGCCAATCGCTCGCTTAAATTTGTCTTGAGTCATTTTGCGCCCTGTCAGTGTTTGGCTGAAACTATTGGTGCATTCGTGACCCCTTTGCACACGTTGTCCGCAAATGTTGCTGTAGTGTTCGCGATTGCAAACCACTACTTGGTTCCCTGGTGGTACTCCTTTGCTCGAATCACTTCCAAGAAGAACGCTTGAAGAGGTTAAGCAGGGGATAGGGGTTTGAGTGCGATTGCGTTTGAGACGCAGCGCTACGGAAGCTGTGTGACCAAGGTGATTTCCTTCTACTGCTTGGCAGGCTGGAATTCCCAAATTCTGAAGCTTTTCTTTGGGGGAATTTGGGTGGCTCAGTCTGCGAACCAATGATCATGGCAGAATCGCCGATTTGTTCATGTCGAACGTTAGGGACTTGCGAGGGGTTGTTGCCCGAGTTGACCGAGTTGACGCGCAAAATCCCGGAATGTGTTTGAGAAGCTGTATATAATTGGAACTTTTAGAAGTGAGCGGACCAGCATGCCTTCGACAGTCAATTGATTTTCAACTGAAGGTCCTTCAAAATGTGTTTTGCTGTGAGAACTTGCCAGGTCACGTCAAAATGGCAAGCGGGGGCTCTCGGATAAGCCGGGGTCTTCACTGGCTTTTGAGGTCCCTCACAGCTTGGGCTGGTCAAGTGGTCAAACAAGCGTGTACGCTTACTGAGGGTCCAGAGAATCAAGCCGTCAACTGATAGCTGGATTTGTCCAATGAAGCGCGCGGTCCAATGAAGCGTGCTCTTCCATGAGGACTTGAACATTGCCAGCGTGCCAAGCGGAACCTGGCTAAACATGTCGGATGAAAGGGCCAGCTGCAGCTTGCAGGTGAAGGTGCAGATAAGCCGCCAAAGGCCGGTTTGGAGTGGGATGGCAAACCACGGCACACAAGGTGCCCCCTGTGACAAGAGTTCTGGCCAGGACATCAAAGAGACTCCTGGCGCGAGCCTCATTGCAGCAGGCTTTGGGTCAACAACAAGCAGAAGTTCTGTAGTGCAAGGGAAGAGCTGATGGTGGCGGTTTGTGTTGCATCTTACAATTCCGGGCCGCTAACGAGCTTTTGTTAGATGGGCATTTTGCTATTTGCAGATGCTTTTGAGTCTTTTGCGGGTGGCTTCCTGGAAGGGAGAATGCTATGCGCCGAGGACCCCGGAAGAGAATAATGTGGGGCCAGGTGTTCTTGGGCCAGGCCGGCGGCCGGAAAGCTGAACAGGAAGCTTGGAAGCGGAAAGCATGAGGCCAGTGGATTTCGGGTTGGCATCCCTGTGCCCTTTTCTCTTGTGCTGCAGTTCTTAGAGCAACCAAATGGTCTCGGGGTCCGCCACCCGTTGTCCTCCTCCATGTTCCTTTATTTGTGGCCATGGCCGCCTTGAGACAGATCGGGGAGCATAGGTTTGGAAGCCTATGGCTCGCCTCGCTTTGGGAATAACCATTTTGCAAGGGGGAGATCCAAACAAATGAAGACATGGCCCTCCCTCCTCTGCTGGAATGCGAGTGAACTACTTCATTTACCATCCGTATTTGTCAAAATACAAATCCGGAGCCTCAAGCTTTCCTTTTTGATCCGCTTTGGATGATCCCCGCCCCTTAAATATGGAATTGGGGGAGGGGGGAGACCCCTGGAATTCCATTTGTGGTTTCATTTCCTTTGTAAGGGGAAGACTAGATAACTGGAATTGGGGGCCCCCCACCCCCCTCCCCTTATGGTAGGGGGGTCTTGGATTTCCCAACCGAAACCAACGATTTCCGACGGCCGCCCATGATCAAAACTTCGAACCCATTTTGGCGCGAGGTGGTCGACTGGAAGGCGCGGAAGGTGATGCTGGGATAACCACTGCAACGGTCCAAACCACGTGAGGTGCCGGCATTGCAGGGTCAAAACGGGTATTTCCCCCGTTTTGGATGCGCGCAGTCGAATGTCTTCCAATTTTAGCAGGCTGAGGGGAGCAACTTAGATGTTATTTTTTGACACCAGCCATGCGCAGGTGAGTATTAATTATTGACCACCAATGTTTCTCTATTTGGTTGCACCTGGAATTCGGATCAGCAGATGCGCAGTCAATGTCCTGCCTCGTTGTGTTTCTGCAAGCCGAACTTTGCCATTAAAAGGAACCCTGTTTCCCCGTTTTTTGTTCCTCCCCCGCGCCGTCCTTTTTTGTTTCACCGTTCAATTTTGCACCGTTCATTATTTTAAACGGAACCCTTCAAAGCGACGGTTGCTTGAACTAGTTGCCTCGCTTGCCTAGGGCAAGTATGGATGGATCCAGCCCGCGGAGCCGATCTTCCATGCCAAGGCACGGAGACAATCACAAGGCTTCCTGGTGGCTCCAGCCATCTTAGCTTTGTAGCATTGTAGCTTTTAGGGTTTAGGGTTTAGGTTTCCATTCAACGAAAGCTAAAGCTTTTTCCTGGTGGATGTCGACGCTCCGCGACAGCAGGGTGCCTTGGCGGAAACAGTGATGGGAGTGAATTCTGACATTGGGCTGCAGCTCGAGCCTTCATTTAGCACAGGCCAGGATGATGTGTTGGGTAAACATGCGGCATGTGCAGGCCAGTATGCGGCAGGGTCGAGTGTTCATCAGCCACGGACTTAGATCGACTGAGCGCAGAGTTTTCCGGCTCGATGTTTCAATAGTCAACAATTGGGCCCCCTATATCACATGTGGACAAGGTTGTTTTCTTTGCGCAATTCCGCTGGTTTTTGGCTCAGACCAAAGCTTTAGCTCAGCTATATAACTGGGGGTGCAGGTATAGTTTGCTAGGCCGGACGGCCGTACCTAGAGCTGGTTCCAAGAACGCAGGCGCCCAGGCGCTGTCCTGATTGATTGAAATGTGCTGATGGGCGTTCCGTGTTTATTGCGACCTGTTTCTTCTGACTTGATCGGCAGATGCAAGGCATGTCTTGAGACAATATCTGGGCACATTGACCCCGCCTGGAGAGGACAGGAGGCCGCGAAAGCAACGCCTGAACCACAAATTGTGTGTTGAGAATGCACGGCTCAGGCAGGACCGATTTGGCTGGAGCCCCAGGAAGTCGGGGCAGGAGGTTTGGAAGAGGGACTCCATGTTCCAGTTCTCAGAGCAGGTTCTTTGGCACAGGCTCCTGACATTTTGTGCTTGACTAGGATCAGTGGAGCAGTTTTCGTGTCATTGAGCACGCGAGAACATGTAGACTGGCGACGTCCAAGCGGCATGGAACCGCAGTCCCGGCCTGGTACAAGCCATGCTTTGACAACATGATCGCTTTAGTGCAAGACAACTGAGAGAATCAAGTTCGACAGCGTTTGACACGAAAGCAGCTACTGGAGACCTCACCTTTAACATCCTGAGAAATAATGCACTTTGCAGCCTCATGGGCCACAGAAACAGAGTGTACCATGCGATGGGTCTATGAGCACAGCCCGTCAAACTTGACATCCACCAATGCATTGGTGCCTGAGGTTCTAAGAGAATGAACGCATGGCTTTAGAGTCGTTTCGGCCTCGGGCGGTGCGCCCAAAAGGCCAAGAGCTGCAGAGAGAATGTCTCCCTTTGGCCCGCCTCATGATTCGCCATGAAGCTGCTGCTGCAGTGGGGCACCCGGCTCTAGATCGCTGAGTGCCGGCCCACAAAAAGGGTATGGCGGTTCTGCTCAGGACCTCGATGGAAACGCCCCGACAATCCCCGCAACCCTCGGAACTGCTGCGTTGGGGATACCATTTGAGCTTATTCGTGAAGCGGCCTTCTGTTCTGAGAGGGATGCCGTGCAAGATTCGCCAACGGGACATGACTTCTGTCAGCCGGATGGTGCGCAATGCTTGTAATGAGGAGCCCGCTGTCGCCCTTTTTGTGGACAGCGTGTCACCAAAGAATAGCAGGGTGAGAGGGGGGGATTCGGGGATGACTTTGAGCTCTCCGAGCGTCTCCACGAAATGTCCATCTTCGAAGGCAAATTCGTAGGAAGTGTTCCAGAACCTTTCCCCCCTTTGCTAGCCTGATCATGGTGAGTTATGACACGTCCAGCGTGCTTGTTGGCATGTTTGAGAAACCAATGTAGAAGGCATCTAACAAACCTCGCTCGCCGCTACTTGTGAGGTGGGCTGCCTATGCAGCAGCCTGGCCAGCAAGATGTGGGGCTACGCTATTGCGCTTGTCAGTCATAATTGGTCATACGAGTGATGCGCTTGCTTCATGTTGCTTCCCGTAGGTGGGGCATTTGAACAAACGTGGCTGGGCTTCGTCGAGGCAAGTTGACGAGAGTCCCCTCCAATCAGTTTGCAGAACATGTTCCTTTGCATGTTTGCCTGCTCACTCGGCATGGAGTCTTTGGCAGAGAGCTGTGTGCGGGGGGCCTCTTTGAAAGACATCGCCACGGAGGCGCAGTGCAAGGCGCCGCGTTTCATGGGAGGAGTCTTTTTTGGTTGTTTTGCTTCAAACATAGATGGCGATTCCTGGTTTACCTGGTGGTTTAATCATCTACCAGGGAAACCCATCTATTTCCCGTAAAAGGACACCGCTTGACCAGTTTGAGCCTCTGACTTCCTCGTGAAACTGGTGGCAAACTCTCACAATTTGCCCAGCAGGGGAGAAGGACCCTGGCGCGTGCTGGTGTTTTTTACTTGCGGGAAGGCCCAGCGGTGCTGGTTGTCTCTTGCCATTTGTGTGTGGCTCAAAATTAAAGAGTCAGGGTTACGCAGGTGTTGGTCTTTGTTTTCATGTACCAAGGGGCTATTTTGGGTACCATCTTTTGAGCCACAGCCATTTGAGCGGTTTTGATTTTATTAAGAGGTGAATGGAAGTGGCAAGCATGTTTTGGCTCGATATTTTTGCACAAGGCACCTGAGGAGCACACGCAGACTTTGCAGGACAGGGCCTCGCATGTGCAGTTCGTTCGTTCGGCTTTTGGAGCTCCACTCGTGCATTCAAGCGCAAGGGCCAGAAAGGCTCTTCCACGGATTTCATATGATCGCATAGGTGTGGTTTTTGAAAAAATAGACGGCCATGCCAAATGGAATGACACCAACCTAAACAAAAAGGACACCTACTGTGGATGGACGAAATCCTGCACCACTTTACCATGGGAAGCCATTGGTTGGTGTTTACAAGCGAATCAGGATTCTCGGGTTTCTCAGGGGCAAGATTTCGTCTTCCTGGCCGAAGCGGCTTGAGCCCTGCAGGCCCGGCCCAGCTCCTTCGCAATGAAGAGCATTGCCGCTGGCTGAGTCGGAGTGCCACCTTCGGCTCGCACAAAGAGCACCCCTCGAAACACTCGGGTATGATCGGGTATGGGTCAAAATTAAACCACCAGAGAACCGCGGGTTCTAGTCTTTGTTGCCATTTACCAGGGTTCCATTCTGGGTACCTATTTTTGACCCACATCCACACAGCGCTGGTGGAGCGCTTCAATTCCATGCAGTAATGCGTGAAGGCACATGCTTCCCCTGGAATGTTGGATGCGGATGTGACAAAGAAACAATTAGCCCAAAGACTTCAAGAGCGCAAGCGCTTGCAGAAGGCTACCTAACAGTCATTTTCAGGCCGTGCGATGTATTGTTTGCCGCTACGTCATATCCAGCAATAGCCAACGCCTTGGATAAATTGCAAACTCCGATTTTTCCAGTGATTTGAGGACTACACCCCGCCAAAAGAAGATCCACCTGCTGAACCCCGCGACAAGCATGAGATGGCGGCGGAGGAACGACCTGAGAGGGCGTGAGAATGAAGGAAGTAATGGGCGCCCTGATCAAACCCAACAAGGCACACGGAGGCAGAGGACTTCTGGAGACTTGAGCAGTGGTAATGTGAAAATATTCCGTGCCAGCAGGGATTTGTGGAGTGACCAGGGGCGACATCCCTAGGCTTAGGCTCAGCCAGCGCCCAACCTGTAAAGCCGGCGAAGCTGGGGGTTCGAGTCTTGCCCACTATGCAAGGGAATGCTAGCTGCCACGACACGGCGTTCCCAGTCTCCTTGCCAGATAGATTGTGAACTAGCGCTATCTGCTAGTTCATGATTTATGGGCTAGCTCATTCACTTTAGCTGCCTGGTAAGGATCCGGTCAGCAAGTCAGCTTGCTTTCCAACTGGCCAGTTGGCTCAGTGCGTCACCTGACCAATTCAAGAACGGATTGGTGCTTGTCCATTAGTCAGCCGATGTGGGAGTCAACTAGTCACTTGGTCAGGTAGTTGATTTTTGGCATTAGGTAACTAATGTTGACCCCTGTATGAATCAACCACGGCTTTTTTTTGGGGGGGTGTCCCTGGGTTTAGTGGGGAATGATCACCTTCGGAGGGGAACACCTCCCCTATAAATAAACTGGGGTTGATTAGTATGGGGTCAAAACTACCTAGTTCATCACAGAGTTGGCTTTCTTCATTGGCTAGTTGGCTGGGTAGCTTCTTCACCTCCTTCAACTGTTTTGCGAAGGTTTGTGGTGGCGCTTGCTGGTCCGCCAGTTTTCATCTAGCCACTTTGTCAATCGATTGTTGGCGCGCAGCTTAGGCCTCGTCGCTAAGTTAGGTATCTTCTAAGTGCCACTTCGTCAGCACGAAAGACAGTTGCCAAGCTGGCCTAATTCGTGAGTTCTTGAGCTAGTCGTTTGCAGTGAGATGGGTTGGGCAGTGATTTGGGGATGCGAGGTGAGCAACCCCCAAGGGGTTCACCGCTTGAAGGCCCCAAGTGTTGATGGTCCTTTCATGTTTGGTGCAGTTTGCGAAGCCAGCTTGTGGCAAAACGACGTCTACTTGTCAAGGCTGGTGAAGGCTAAAGAGTGGCATTGAACATTTTGGGCATAACCGTAGCGACAAGTGAGCGGAAGGCCAGAATCGTCCGTGACAAGCAGGACTATGTGGACCCGGATACCTTTCCAGAGAACCGCTATCCCAACGGCAAGCTGAAGAGCGGGCCCTGAGTGGGTCCGGCAGTTTGTCACTGAAGCACCTCATACTCACCCTGTATTTTGCCCGTCCCTTCAGGTCGTCTCAAACTGCGTTCGATTCACTCTGGAAAACACGGATCCGTGATTCTTTGCAGATGGTGCAGCTGGAATTCCAGAGCAAGAAAGAGAGAGAGAGAGAGAGAGAGTGAGAGAGCTGTCAATGTACACGTGGTGTGGCACTACGCAGCTTGTACATGACCGCAGGCCTTGAGCTTACCACTACATGAGCCCATGCAAAATAGGAGCTGTGCACACTACAGACTACAGGTTTGACTGTTTGTGTTAGCAACATAACAGCACTTGCACTTGTAGTAAACAACGGTTTGATTTTATCGTGGTAGCGGAGCTGAGGTCCTACACAGGGGAGCTCCATTATGCAGCAGTACGTACAACAACTGCAACAGCAACCACATGCCAAACTATCTGCGACGTGTCACGAGAAACAGCATCAGCATCAGCTTAGCACACTACAGGAACAGACGACAGGCCAACAGCAGCAGAAATAGTAGGAGCCACAGGAGCAAGACAGCGACGTCCAAAGACTACACAAGTATAAGCTGCCACCACCGTTCTTCACTGGCGACTACTCCCAGTACGAAGAATGGCTGTTCAAACTACAAGCCTATCTCGGACTTATAGGCCGAGACTTCGACCTGGTACTACAACCAGCACAACTGGCTACACGACAGATTGAGGATGCAGACATCAGAACACACATAAGCGACCCTACGCAAGCAAAAAAAGCAGTAGACCTCGCAAGAGACCTACACTACATCCTCATCAACATGTGTCAAGGAGCAGCAGCTACAGTAGCACACCAAAACCGCAACAACGCAAATGGCTGCGACTCCTGCGCAACAGTTTCACCTTACCAGGGCATATAGCTCGGAAAAGTTTTCGACGCAGGAGAAAACTACACCGCAACGGAACCAGGCGTTGAAAAAGCAAGAGCAGTACGACGACTACAGCCGGGCTTCAAACATGACATTGCATCACTGAACAAGGTCTCCGGAACACCTTGGGCACCACGAGGCAACACTTACAACCCGTCGTTCGCAACACTGTTTCAATCGTTGGAACGAAAGAGACGAACCACACAAGACGCCGGACAACAGATAGATGTCGCAGACGACATCATCGCAGAACCCATATCGACTTCCGCAAATTCACCAAACACAAACAACATCCTGGATCCCGTCGCCTATGTCGATGCGGACTGGGCAGGATGCCGTACTACCAGGAAACCCTCTTCAGGTTTCAACATCCACGGAACAACAGCTGCGTTTGGTAGCAGCACACAAGCTACAATAGCTCTGAGCTTAGCAGAATCTGAACTCTGCGCAATTTGTACAGGAGTTAATGAGGGACTACGCCTCAGAAACTTCCTACTGGAAATGTCAGCAAGCTAAACCTATGCATTCACACAGACTCCACAGCAGGCAAAAGCATTGCTACACGACAAGGCGCAAACAAACGAGCAAAACACATCGACCTCAAATCTCTACGCGCAAGATCTCATCAAGCGCGGAACCATCAGAATCCCAAGATCAACACACTTCACAGCAGCGCAGATTTGTTCACAACACATCAGCAAAGAAACGCTACAACGGCTTATTCAGAGCATTGGCATACGCTTTTAGTTAGCACTACGAACGACGACCACACAACTGTTTCACATTAATTTGCGCTGCGAACGACGACCACTCAACTGTCTCACAACAAGTCCAACCAGTTGTATGTAGCAGCTACATGTAACAGTATGTATGCAAGTAAACCGCTTGTAATGTCACTTGCGCTTTTTTGGAGGCATGCGTTGGTGGCTTCAGTCAACACTACCTTTGTTTTGGTTGCGTGTCTGCCCGCTTCCCTTTAAGCCGCTCGCTACACAGGCTCATTTGCACTACTGTCTCACGGCGCTCTTCTTATAGGTCAGTGCAGCCAGGGATCGCTTGGTGACCGATTCCACTACCGGCACACAACTTTGCGAAACTACAGGCTCGCTACGGCAACTCCGCTACCGCCCAACTACAACCTCCAAGACACCTGCAACGCAGGCGACTTCAACCTGCGCATCACTGGAACCACTGAACTACGGTCCATGCCAGCTACGCCGCCTGCCCCCCAACGCACGAAGTTCTAGTTCCACACAACTGCAAATTCAGAGCCAGCTACACCATTTCTCCCACGACATTCACCTCCGGGCAAACTACACGAACCAACTTGCAATCGACTTCAAATGACGCATGCTGCATCAGATGCACGTTTTTGGCACTACTACAGCATCTCAGAGCGCCATGCAACTAAAACCCACATCAACGACAAAGTGCTCATCACAGCAGCACACGTCCAGCAACTGCGCAGGGACAACTCACTCCACCAACATGAGCGACGCCCTTCGACTCAACTACTACTAGGGCACGCCTCATCCACTTTCACTGCAACGAGTTCACCCTGCGCTACGCGTTGTTTAATGGCTACGTGTGGGACGACCACTTGCTGAGCAACAATCAACAACTACTACACTTCCACACACTTCACAATAACGACGACACAGCCGATCGTGCTACAAGATGCATTCTCATCAAAGCTGCAGAACGCCATGGCGCCCGTGAATCCTGTGAAGGACTACAACCGCACCCGTGGTGCGGGACAGCTGTTGCTGGAGTACATTAGCGACACCGCTACGCCCCAGCCGCTGGAGGACATGCAGGTTCTACAGCGCAATTACTTCCGAGAGCGCCCGCACGAAGTTCTTCGGGAACTACACCTTACCAACCTCGCCACCCAGTTTGACTACTGAGCCTGAACAATCACTGCTGTCAACCTCTTTTGCTACGGTTGCAAGATACTACAAGACAATGTCAAGTGAGGTGCAGTGTCAATATACATGTGGTGCGGAACTACATAGCTTGTACATTACCGCATGCCTTGAGCTTACCACTACATGAGCCCATGCAAAATAGGAGCTGTGCAGACTGCAGGTTTGACTGTTTGTGGTAACAACATAACAGAACTTGCACTTGCTGCCATCAACAGTTTGATTGTAACGAGAGAGAGAGAGAGAGAGAGAGAGAGAGAGAGAGAGAGAGAGAGAGTGAGAGAGATGCAGAATTGCATGGTTGGTGGGCCAACAGGCCACGGTTGCAACACGATTCGATAAATCAGGCTGCTGCTGAGAGAACTCGGTCCAGGCCGCCCTTTTAAGTTAAACCTTAGAAATTACAGGCGCCCGCATGTGGTGCCAGCAGTTCTGAACAGCACCAAGGAGCGTATCAGACTGAAGGTGGCGCCTGCAGGAACAAAGCGCCTCCCCACTTGCGACAGTGTCCGGGGCCGTGCGTTCGGCTCAGGCCCCACGGCCCCGGCCTCGGCTGCAACGGTTTCGAGCGGGATTCCCAAAAGGCCCTGTCGGCCAGCTTCTTCTTCTCCTTGCGGCAGCCCGTCGACTCTGCCCTTTATGCACTGCTTTGTTGCTGCCTGCAAGTTCGCCACGGCCAACATGGTGCTCTCTGCTGTTGAATTCACTTCCCGGAAGTCCCGGCAGACTATCATCAAATGAAAGGAATGCTGCTTCTTTCAACATGGGCAGAGGCAGGCAAGCACAAAATGCCATAACCAGAAAGGTGCATGCTGCATGAATCAAACTGCCGGAAGGGAGAAATGACCAGTTTGGGAAAGTACGGGACGCTGTGGAAGCCTGCGAATTTCAGTGAAATCTGTCTTGTGCCATCAAGAACCAAGATTATTCATGAATGCGGAGCATGTCGGTTTTCCATTGTCTTTGTTTTTCCATGAAAAAAATGTTGCTTATTTAGGCGACCAGGGAAGATATACTTGTCAGGAGGTGTTGTCTAGGGAGGGTGCAAGTTGGACAAGCGGTTCTTTTCCCTCTCATGCCTTCGCATGCCACAGCTTGCTCGGGAGATGGATGAACACCCTCCTATCATCCCTCATTGTGCAAAAAACTGATTGCTAAATTGCTAACCATTGGCAGGTGGTCTGCCTCACCCTCAGAACTCCTGATACCTACTGAGGAACAATCTGTTTAGCACTCTGTGTCAGCATGTCCCCGGTGCACCCCCCACCTCTCTTCATGCAGACTCTACAAGATGTGAATATTCACTCCAGGGGAACATGTGGTGGCCACTTGTTTTCCTTTGCGCAAGCAATCTTACAACAAAACATGCGGGGTGTATATGTGGACTGCGGCCTCCACAACGCCCCCGTCGTTTTTTGTTTCAAGAAGCCTCTCGCCGTTCTGTGTCCGTCTTTCCTATGCGCCTTGTGGGATGGCTGCTCATTGCTCAGGCGCAAACTCATTTGGCCATGATTTTAAAGAAGGAACCTGCTGGAAAGTGGTTGGTGGACATAAAACCTGTAAATGTCCACCAGAGGGTCCCTAATATTACTAAGTAAAATTCATGCCCATGTGGGTTGTCCAGGAAGTCTCGGATTTTCGAGCCCACTGTGAGGTCAGAAGAAGAAGTGCGATGCCGGCATGGACTTCGCAGAAGTTTGCCCCATCGGCTGGACCTACGTGCCCACGGCAGCAAACTGTTCTGAAGGGCGGTCCAGATAAAGATCCCCCGGTTTCTGAAATTGAAAGATTTCTGCTTCCGCTGTCCTGCAAGTTTGTGCTAAGCCAAGCAATTCTTTCATATTCCCCGCAAGGACGCCAAAAGCCACAAGGAATCGCTGCATGATTGCCGGTTTGTGAGGGATTGCAGCATTGCGTGTTTCATCGTGTTCAGTTTGAGTCGCTTTCAGCTCCAGCACCCGGATTGGATGCGCTTTCTGTGGTTTTCCCATGTTGTTTGGCTAGTTGTTCCTCTTTTAATACTCTTTTGCTATCCTACCAGGGTGGATCCACAAAAACCGCATCTAACCGTTTCCTAGATCAGCGGATCGGCACGACAGTTCCAAGAGCGTTTCAGACGTGCCTCAGGTGTCCTCGGGCCAGTTCGGCCCAGAGTGCCAAGCGCCCGCGAATTTCTACACCGAGCCTCGCTGCATCAGACTCGGTCATTCCGGGTCCCTGCGAGAAATTATTTAACTGATCCAAAGAGGCCCTCCAAGTGCCAAGCACATTTTCTGGGCAGCCCTCGTGCATTTGGCCATAGGTTGCAATAAAGCAACCATGGGCCTGAAAGAGGGTCCCGCAACCAGAGGAAGATTGTCTTTCAGGGGTCGCTTCAGGTTTAGCATAGATGGGCTCCCAGCATGCATTGGAGGAGCGCAGTCTCAGCATGCCGCAACAACCGACGCACTTCGCTGCAGGAAGGACGCTAATTACGTGACAGGCGCAGGAAGCCAACCCCTTGACGGGGCCCTCGTTCTCCCCACCCCCTTAAAAATGGAACGGGGGAGGGGGGTGACCCCTGGAATTCCATTTGTGGTTCCATTCTCCCTTTTGCGGGGAAGACTAGATAACTGGAATTGGGGACCCCCCACCCTCCTCCTGAAAGTCCTCGTTTCGGTCTGAGGAGAGTGGCTGGTGCCGCCAGCAGCTGGGACCGCGACAGGCCCTTGCTGCTTCCCTGGATGTGCGGGCCTCAGAGACCGAGCTCGAGCGGCACTCACGGGCACCCCAATTCAAGTTTGAGCGGGAGGATGTTGGCGGCTTTGCTTTGGTGTAAGGCTTGCAGACTGCAAATATGCGGAACAAAAACAACGGGGCAGACCTATACATGGCAAGTGATTTGATTTCACGCGGCAAGTCGAGGCAAGGTCGGCCGGTTCCAGCTCTTTCTTTATGTGTGCTATCTGCAACTGTGCGTTCCCCATAGGCTGAATCAACATGGCAATTGATGTGCAGTCAGTAGCGAGTCTCGCACCCTGCCGCCAGCAGTGGAAGAAGAAGGAGATCTATGATGAATGTTTCTCCGTTGCACTTGGCATTCTTGCGTAGGTGCATGTGTACATGTGTGCAGATGCGCGTTTGATTTTGGAGCTGCTGGAGAACAGTTCTTTGCATCAAATCCCATCCTTCATGTTGCTTGAATTCTATCCCCATTGGAAGCTCCATTTAGCGCGGGACCCAATGGGACGCAAACTTTGGATCAGAGGCGCCTTAGGGATGTGGCGAGGTGAGCCCAGCAGCCAGAAGAACACAACGGGGTGTTTCGGTGCATGCCCCGCAATGCTTGGATGCTTGGTCGTGCTCTTGTCGATTCCCAACTGACCGGGAGCCAACCCAGAATTGGTTTAAACAATTTTTCCGGCCATGGCCGCCCCGTTTTGGTCCGTCATTTCCCACGAGCGCGGGGGGTGCGCATGTTACGCCGAGGCTGGGTATTGTGGCCCTGCCGGGATCTGAAGCATGACTTCCGGAAACCCTGCCCGCAGGGCTGGACTTGGGAGCCGCTTCTCCGCATATTCGAAGCTCTTGAGGACTCCGAAGCAAAAGGATCCAGCTCAAGTTGCCTCCAAGATCACTCCTCATTCCTTGATCTCGTTTCTGGCCCAGTTCTTTTGGCTGTATGACATCAAATCACAGATAGAGTGATGGGCTCAAGGGCAAGATGTGATGTCGTTTTTGGTTTTCGTGGGCATGTGTTGCCCCTGTGCCGTTGGACATAGATAGCTTTGTTCCAATGTATGGAAACGTGCGGATCTTGAGTTTCAACGGGCTGCGTCCCTTTTTTCATGCAGAATCTAGATCCCTAGTATGCGATGAACTGCTGGGTGAAGATGGCTTATTGGCCGCAGCCAGGGCTCAAACCATGGATGCTACAATGAGTGTGAAGTTCCTGGTCGTGGCATCATGCGGCTACATGGTGGTGCATTTTTACTCTGCCAGGCTCGGATCACGGGCGCGGCTCGCTTTTCCGTGCCTTCCGATGACCCATGGTGTAACTGGATCCTGGGCCGATTGTGCGGAACTTGGGCCAGGTTGCTGTTTCTGGGTAGGTTTATCGATCTAACAGCTGAAGACCTGTAATGTGACAGAGCCGACCCTTTAAGTACAGTAATTAGCGGTTTCGATCTTTAAGTTAACTCACGGTTCCGTTCCGCCCAGTTAACCGCTTCATTTGTGGTCCTCGAAGCCGCTTGCTGGTACCAAGGAGGCTCTTAATTGCAAACTGGGGACTGATGTCGGCATTGGCCTGCCAACATCCCCAGAGAGCTGACATGATTTCAGCACGGGACTGAACCGTGAGATGCTAGCGGATTGCAACATGGATTTGGCATGCATTCGTTCAGCCAAGTGGAGCCAGGATGTTAGCGAGTTGCAAAATGAACTTAGCAGGAATCCGCATAGGCGGGCCCGTGATGCAGCATTCTACTTTCAGCAATTCGACATGTAGTACTTGGCTTAGTGGAGCCATGATGTCATCAACTTAACTTGTACCGTTTGTTTGTCATGCGTAATTTCGCGATGTTGGGCGCTATTGAGTCTACACGCGGAGTCATGTAGAGGCAAACCATTGGCATGCCGTATGCTAATAAAGCAGTGCTGCTAATAAAGCAGTGCGTGCGACGCGGCCAGGGTGCTGACGTGGAAGACCTGGTTCCCCAACCTCACTCGAACTGTGAGTAGCTGGAGCCTGGCTGACGACATGAAGTTACCCAATGTTGTTGCCCGCAGCTTGTCGCGAAAAGTCGGGGACTTGGATGACTTTGCTCTGCAAGATTTGAGGAAAGCGGCTGGCACATTTTGTTGTTCCACAAGCATCTGATCAGGTGGGCTGTTGCATGTGAGCTGGTCTACTAGCCATTCGTCAGGAGGCGGCTTGTTTTGTTTGGGCATCCCATATCATGCACTGCTAGTATACCGATCTGTTTGGGTGGGCATTCGCCATACCCTGGAGCAAAATGGATTTGCACTTTCTGGCTGCTGTTGCCTTAGCCTCCTAGCTTCGGAGCGCATGCATCTACATGCTGAAGGTGTGTCACCATTTTGGAAGAATCTTTCTCTGACTTTTTCCGGAATCTGCAAACTTTACAGTGAATTCTTCAGGCCGCCTCCCCTGCATATGGCTGCGAGTCAATTTATAAGGTCCGGAACAGGGTCCGGAACCCACATGCGATCCAGACCTTCGTTCCAGACCTCCGTTCCAGACCTTGCCTAGAAACTTGATCCAGACCTTCCGTTCCAGACCTTGTTTATATATTTATGTCTAGTTTAGAGTATTGATTCAGACGGTCAGGTGATTTGGTAGGTTGTTGACTCCCCCCTTGTTTTGCAAAATGCTACGCGTTAAAGCTGGTGTTCGCAACCCCGCCGCAATCTGTTCGATGCGATACGGTAACGGTTCGATACCGCTCTCGGTGGTCACATTGTTGAAACGACCATGTTTACATGCTGCTTGCTAGCATTCCCAAGTGCAACACCCGCGTAACCGTTCCAGACCCCGTTCCAGACCCGTTCCAGACGTGTTCCAGACGCAGCGGAGCAATTTGCCACCAAGTCCACATGCACGCACACACACACACACACCCCCACATGCCCCACGTAAGTAGCTGCGCTTCTTATGCGGCCCGCCGCGCCGCCCAAGAAGCCTTCAAGGAGGTGCCGTATCGTAAGGCCGCGCGCCGCTGGTCGCTTCATCCATCCATCTACCCATCCATTCAGCCATCCATCTATCCATCTTACACTAAATGAACGTGTGCTTGAGGACTCCACGCATGTCCTCCCAGAGGTCCGGAACAAGCGACGTTGCGCAACTGACTCGTTCCAGACGTCCGCGTCACCGCGGAACGTTCCACACCAGAATATTGACCCACACCCATATTGCAAACGACCCCCATACAAAAGTCCTTGATCAGAGCAGGGTATGCGGCTAATTGACACATTCTAGCCAGTCAGCCTATGGGCTTGGCCTGGCAGGCCTTGTCCTGAATTGTGCCATGATTTGGTATCCAGGTTAGACTTGTTATTAAACGAAGGCGGGTTGCAACCCAAATTGATGATTGGGATTAGCGTCAGGGCGCTCAGATGTGAAAGTTTTTGAAACTCGCCCCTGGCTAGCCAGGGAGACCTGCTGGTGTATAGGGAGATGTCAAAGTACATGCGGTGTTGTACTACATAGCTTGTACATGACCGCAGGCCTTGAGCTTTCACTACATCCAGAGCCCATGCAAAACAGGAGTTGTGCAGACTACAGGTTTGACTGTTTGTGTTAACAACAATACAACACTTGCACTCGTAGTAAACAGCAGTCAGAACTTAACGTGGTAGCGGAGCTGAGATCCTAAACATAGGGGAGCTCCAGTATCCAGCCGTAAGTACTACAACAACTGCAGCAGCAATCACATGCAAAACTTTTACAGCATGTCAGGAGAAGCAGCATCAGCTTCAGCACAACAAACTACCGGGGCAGAGAATGGGCCAACAGCAGAAACAGTAGGAGCCTCGACTACGGGAGCAAGAGCAGAACAAGACAACGACGTTCACAGATTACACAAGTACAAAATGCCACCACCTTTCTTCACTGGTGACTACTCCCAGTATGAAGAATGGCTGTTCAAGCTACTAGCATATCTCGGACTCATAGACCGAGACTTCTACCTGGTGCTACAACTGGCGCAAGTAGCTACACGACAGATCGAGGATGCAGACATCAGAGCACACATACGCGACCCTACACAAGCAAGCAAAGCTCTAGACCTCGGGAGCAGCAGCTACAGTAGTAAGGCAAAACCGCTACAACGCAAATGGATGTGAAACACTAAGACTCTTACACAACCCAGCCTACGAGTAGGAACACGAAGCGTTGGCTACCTTACCAAACTACTGGAACCTACATTCAATGAAGCACAGTTTGAAGAGCACTTCCTACAATGGGAATACGACATCAACCGCTACGAGAGACAACGGCGCAGCACTACCAGATGGAGTAAAGATTGCAATACTACTCAACAAAACCAAAGGAGCGCTGCAACAACATCTCCAACTGCGAGCTGGACAGATCACGAAGTACAACGAGATCAGAGCAGTCATCCTGGACTACTACAAGACGATCTCTTCTTTCTCAAGAGCAACTTCAGCTGTAGGCACAAACTACAATGGAGGAACTGCACCAATGGACGTTGACAACATTTGGAGGAAAGGAAGGAACAAGGAACTAAAAAGGCAAAGGAAAAGGCAAAGGCCACTATACAGGAAAGGCAAATACAGGAGCAAAGGACACTACATTGGATTTGACAAAGGCAACAAAGGAAGCTACAACAAAGGAGGATACAACAAGAGGCTACTCAGAACCCAAAGGCCATGGATCAAACAAAGGAAGGTCAAGGAAACTACAGCAAAGCAAAAGGAAAAGGAAACAACAACTACATGACATGCCACAGATGTGGCAATCCCGGCCATTGGGCCCAGGAGTGCAGAGTGCCTGTCTGGCACATAGGAAAAGGAGATCCACCAGACCAAGAACAAGCAGACCAGGACAACAATGAAGAACTACCTCAGGATCTCACTTGGGACTGGTACTACAAAGGAGAAGAAGGACACGGACACGAGGTGAACTACATGGAGGAGAGTTGGAACGACTACGACTATGACTCACAACTGGGATTGGAACGACAACAGCTATGAAGACACACCAAACTACATTGGAGGCAACAACAAGTCACACCTCACCATTGGACACATCAGACAAGCAAAGTCGCTACCACACAAGCGCAAATCCGAATCACTACTTGGAAAGAAAGCAACACACACACGACATCATGGAACGACCACAGCAAAAGCTTTCAACGATTCCTGACAGAACGCAACTGCACTTCGACATAGCAGCAGCAACACAACGGCAAAAAACAAGAAGATTGAGGGCACCATCACACACTACATCATGTACTCCAACTTCAAGTCATACTATCACCTGCTGATCGACTCTGGAGCATCTACACATGTTTGCCCAAAGGACTACGCACCAGATCTACCACTACGACCTTGTGGAGAATCCGTTCCACAACTCTACACGGTTACCAACAAGAAGATCCTTGTCTACGGCGTCAAGTATGTTCCCTACAAGCAGGAAAACTTCAGGATCATGATGCCCTACTATGTTCGTGATGTGAAGTATCCTATCCTCAGTCCATCGCGACTACTTGATAGAGGATATGGACCCGACTTCAACCCCACGACACTTCACTATCTCATCAGACACTCAGGGCTCTTCTACCTACGAGCTGCAAAGACCGACATCCCTACAGGATTCAACATCTACCTAATGACTACAGACAATGGAAAACCCATTGCTGTGATTCAACCTACAGAGAAAGCAAAACAACAACAAGAACAAATTGCACCACTCACACACACAGACCAAGGACTGCGACAGACCCTTGGTGGAAACACTGACTACTGGAAACTTGATGGTGACTACGCCGTCAGAGTTCACGAGCGACCACGCAAAGCACCTCTCCCACCACACAACAGCGGCTGCCCAAGACCAGAAGAAGAACTAGATCATTGGCGACTAACCATCATCAAAAGACAAGGGCAGGAGCAAGAACAACTACAAGAGAACCCCAAACAACTTTCCAAGCAAGAACTACGAAGAAGACTAGAAGGTGACAACTGGACTTGGAAACCAGATTCAGAAGAAAGATACCACCTGCACGCGGAGCAACATCAAAGACCACACCAACAAGACAGAGCTCACCACTGCAACAACTAATGGAGACACCGCCAACAAAACCAAAGATTCAACTACGAGCTCCACAAAGATATGGAGACCCAAAGCAGCACCTTCTACAGACCTTGACGCCACACAACCAAAGGCGACCACACACAGACCGCTAGCAGCGCACGAAGACAACCAAGACTACTGGGAAAGACAAGGTGAACACTGGACACATATCACTTAGAACTACACTGTTCACTCCAACAGATGGACCAGGACATCCACCAATCAACACACTCGAACCTCACAGAACTACAATCACCAACAACAAGTTTGGAGAAGTCTCACAACGCAGAGATGACTGGACAGTCATGGGCAACGCAGCACTACCATTTCAATGGAAAGGAACAACAAGGTTCACCATAAAGAAAGATTACGAGTACATCCAGGAGAGCGACGACGAGAGCAACAACACAAACATCATGAAGCGCACAGAGCAAGAGGACTACGACAACCACAGCAACCAACTCCACAACAAATAGCAGAACACAACTTGACACACCCACCATACAGAAATTGGTGTCCAATTTGCGTACAAGGCAAGGGACGCCAAGACAACTACATCAAGTAGATTTTGCCTACATCCAATCACAACAAGACCCAAAGACCATACCAGTCTTAACAGCAGTTGATGTTACTACACAACTGTGTATGGCGGCAATGGTCCTGGACAAACCATCGATGATGCACTACATGGTCAACAAGCAATGTCCACAAAGCGCTGCCTACCACCGGGGCCAGTACGACATGCAGCATGGACGGCAAATCGCTACGTCATCCACTCCGACGGCTGCGCAAGAATCGAACGCCGCTGGGGAGGAAACTACGAGCGAGCAATCTGCGAATTTGGCGAAACACTACTTTACCTTCCGCCGCAACACAAGAAACTTCCGAAAGCAGACCTACGAATGCAGAAATGCATTTGGCTCGGAAAAGTTTCCAAAACCAGAGAAA